TTGTTGTTGTTGTTGGTAGGCTTGTGGTGGTAGTGGTTCGTTGTTGGTTGTACTGTGGTGGTGGTTGTTGGTTGTTGGCCATCCTTGCTGTGAGTCAGTCAGCCAGTCAGCCAGTCAGCCAGTGGATGTGATGTTGATGGTTGTGGTTTGATTGTTGAGGGTTTTGCTGTGAAGTGTGTGATTTCAAAGAGAAAGAAAGAAGATTCTGTGAAAACGAGAAAAAGAAAAAAAAAAGTCAAATCGAAGCCGGATGACGTGGTCTGTTTAAGCCAGTCAGGACCCTGGAAACCCCCGAACTATGTGGGTGACCAAAATGTATGAATTTTTTAGAAAAAAATGAAAATCATACGCACGAAAGTGGTATGAATGAGTTTGGTTGCCTTAAAGGTTACGCACCAAACAGCCTATAAATGTATGAATATCCGCCAACTTGGCGGAAAACCTCCCAAAAATGGCCCGGTCCCCGGCTATTCGGGGGGATTTACTCACTTTCCGGGGGATTTTGGCCCAAGCATACGCACGAAATGTGTATGAATGGGCCCAAATGTGCCATTCCCCGGTGCCCCCCGATGTATGAATTTAGTGAAAATTCCGGGATTTTCGTCACCCACATTTATAGGGGGTTTCCAGGGTCCTAGCCAGTCTGCCTTATTTTCTGATCACTTTCGATCGGATTATGTCATCTCGGATCACATCGCGCACCAGCGCACTTCCAGGCCGCCATCGCCCGGAGTCCGGGCCGAACCGGCTGGAAGACATGCTGGAAGATATGACCGAGCCGATATATGACACTACCGAGACTTCCTTCCCAGGCCAAACATGATAAAGCATTCTCCGAAGCTCATCCAAGCCAAAGCAAAACACGCGTCATATCGAAACAGACCTCAAGCCAAAACACGCGTCATATCGAAATACACTCAAGAGAAAATGTGAGACCCACCTGGGTCCTGGAGAATCAAAATCCACCTTGCACAGAGTCTCGGTGCCCACATAGTTGGAGAACCTTCATCACCACCACTAAACCGGTAGAACACAAACCCATCCTAAATACCACTCCAGGCGGGTAACTCATCAAAGCCTCACATGCATCCATCAACGATCTTCAACTGGAGCATCCTGATCCTCGCCCTTCTGCTCGATCAATCCATCGCTGTCACCAAATGCGCGGTGTGTACAAAGTGCGAAGAGGGACTTGCTACTAAATCTACCCACCTTGGTCGAACAGAAGCCTGCAAGTTCGAATACATCTGTCTCTCGAACCATCGGCACTATTGTTCAAAAATCGTTCAGTCATACGAGCATGAAGGCACTTGCGGTCACACTTGGACTGGTCCGGGACCTTGTCAAGTCCTCCATAAACAACCTGGGTTCCCTGTGCCCTGTCCCAATCCATCACCAACCACCACAAGACCCGCGCGGGCTGCTTGAAGAAAAACTCAACTGCTTCTCTAGGAATGGTTTTCCTTTTGATTGTGATTTATACATATATATGAACAAGACCTCATAATTAATACTTGCATCAATAATGAGTGAATACAACCTTTCTACTTCAAATCATTAGAAATGATCCTGATTGTGATTGATTTGTGGAAGACAAAATCAGATAAAGGATCAATATCCAAAGAGTAATTATATCCGAGAAAGAATCAAAAGAGTTCTGAACAGAGACTAGTGCTTCATCACCAACTTCACATATCAAATCCTGAGTGGAAGTAATGCATATCAGAATGTAAGTTGTTGAGGCACACCATTCTAATTTAAAGTGGTTGGACTCACTTTGTCTCAACATTTTGGCAACCCAATTATGTCTTTTCATTTGTGTAGTTTCATCAAAATTGAACTCACACTTGTGATAGTTATGTCTCATCAACATGAATGTTAAAATGTGTCAGCGCCGGTCTCTTATGTGACCTGGCGTTGATGGGGTAAAGGTCTCACTATAGCTGCTAGTGTTCAACTAGCAGCCAGTGGAAATGAAACCTCGCCTCGACGCTGGAAAGCGGAGGGGTTAAGCTCCCTGAGAATGTAGGGGACGCTTGCGGTAAGGTCTTCGCAGCGCCGGGCTTAGAGTGTAGAATAACTCTCTTCTAGGCTACAGTAGTGACTTTACTGTAGTCTAGGATTAGGATAGGATGGATGGGAGTAAAAGGATAAAGGATAACAGTAATATAGATTATAATAAAAACCCCACTCACTAGTTGTAGTAAGGTAAACGGGTTGTATGGTAATAATCTCTGGGGGGAGGGTTCTTGGGAAGAAGACCTCCCCCTTAAGTATTACAAAGGCAGGGGTCAACCTGCCTGTGAGACCGGTGAGGCCTGCAGAGGATCATTTATGTATATAATCATAAATGATCAAAATATGTATTTAAATTAAGCTTTAAACCAGAAGTGGAGGAAATGATGTCATTCAAGCTCAAAGGAGAAAGAATGATGTCATCTCTCTAATTACAGTGTATAGAGAGATGATTAAGATTTCAAATTGTATGTATATAAAATAGGAATATTAATACAGAGGTGAATGCTTAAGTAATTCCGTGGAATTACTTAAAGCATAAAAGTATAAAAATAGAATAGTAAAATATAATATTACATAATTGGGATTTGAACCCAAGTGTGTTGGTGAGGCAAAGTCATCACACAGTCCTTAACCAATACACTACAGTACATGTGTTTGTTGGTTAAGTACAGGTTGTACACACATGGGCCACCGCCTCAGTGTCTGACAAAATGTATCGAACATGTAATTATGAGAATTCAGCAGGGCTCATTTTGTTTACAGGCCACTTTTTAGTAATAGTGAAAGCCATTCACCACCCAAATTCCTATATTCCCAAAGCGCAAATGATGTGGAAACTGTTAGTGGTTCACACTTGCACAACAACCCTCCCACAACATAGACCACCAAAATTTTCCAAGAGGGCAATTTAAATTATGCCATGTGGAAAGTTGATCAAAGCAGACCTGGCATTTCCACACAATGTCAACACACAGGATGAAACTGAATCAAAGTTTCTTATTTTGGTTTCTGGTTTCAAAATTAGGAATACTGTCTGTTGGCTTGTGAGCTCATACATCAGCCAGAATTTCAAGGAAACAGCTCAGCGGCTCCATGGTAGATCTCCACTGTCTTGGGAATTATGGTCAGTCATTAAAGAGCACTAATATTTACATTATTTAAACATCAGACTAATCATCCATACATATCAATTTTCTAAAATCATTGCTTAAAAACAGCTCAAAGTAGATACATGGATCAGCAAAAGTCATAGAAAATAAGCATTTTTGTATACTCACTAGAAGCTTAGAAATTAGGTTGAAAAGTAGACCAATTCCTCTTTGTAAGAATGTACAAACATGCTCTTTGAAGGCCAAGTCAGGTATTGAGCAGTCACCACTTAATTCACCCTTCAATCCCTGCCAATCCCAAAGCTTCTGGAAACCCAAAAATTCAGTTTCTTCTGTAGTTTGGAAAACTCAAAAAATTTTAGGAGCTGTATTTTTACAATTTACCAAGTAATGAGGATGATTTTTGGCTTAGTGAGACTGGGTTTTCAGGTTTATCCTTGTTATATATAAGGCTCAAGCAGTGTGAAAAGTGTGAAATGGTGATAAAATGTTAGATGATGAGACTACATGTAATGGCAAGTGGTAAGACCCTTTACCAGCAGCATCTAATGGTTTTACACCAGTAGTTTGAATAGCAAAAAATTTCAACTAGAAATAATTGGTACTATTTAGATGAAAAAAAAACACCCAGAAAAATTAAACAAACCAACAACTTGATGCACCGGAAGATTGATCAAAATATGACAAGAGAAATATTCATTCCAAAAAAAGAAGAAGCAGATTTTTTTAAATATGCTTGAAAATGTATCACTAAGAAATCTATTCCAGCCAAGAAAATAGGCATGGAGCATCAAATATACATAGTAATATGCAAAAAATAAAATCTGAGTGTGGTGTGCTATGTATCATATACATAAACCAGCCAATCTTGATTCTCAACTTGTGCAACTACTACATGTTGATCCATGAAAATACAAGTATAAAATCAAACCAGCAAAGATCAAGAGTTGGGGTGCTGCATTGCGTAATTTTTCAATAACCGATTCATCCATGAAGTGATCGGTTCCTCTTTGAAAAATTCCAGTTGCTCCTTCTTGAATTGAATGAAATGCCCCTGGCCAGCCACCCCTTGATTGGTATTCATCTATATAATAAGGTTGCCCAACAAGATGTTGTTGGTTTGGTCTTCTGTGTACCGGTTGTGCTGATTGCAAATAAGGATATCCCTCTGGCCCTGGATAAGCTACTCCACTGGGATGACCAGGGTACTCTGGTCGTGGATAAACCTGAGGTGTTGGCTGTGGGTACCTTGAAGGTGTGGATTGAGGATACCTATGAGGTATTGGCTGCGGCCAAGGTGAGGCTTGTTCATTCAGCTGTCTTTGAATCTGTTGAGCAACCTGTTCTGAGGTTTGTTCATTTAGCTGTCTTTCAATTTCTCGAGCGACCTGTTCTGAGTTTTGTTCATTTAGCTGTCTTTCAATTTCTCGAGCGACCTGTTCTGAGTTTTGTTCATTTATCTGTCTTTCAATTTCTCGAGCAAAATGTTCATCTTGGCTGGTGTCAGGCTCACTCCAGGCATGTTCCAACCCAGGAGATGGAAGTTGAGACCTGTGATCAAGGCCCTCTTGAAGTGAAAGTGCCATTGCTAAAGCAAAGTCTCCAGAGGTATCCTGCAAACTGCTATGATTCCCAAGCGCGTGAATGGGATCTTCAGAATGAGAGGGCTCATGAACCTCATTTCCCAGAGAAAGTGAAACTGCCCGAGCTAAAGCTTCATCATCCCCACGGAGCTCGGTGCCACCCAAAGCATGCAAACTCTCACTATGATGAGGTTCGACATGTGGGGCAGAGAGATCAGGTACGAGGTGATTTTCACGATGTGGAAATCCAGGTGAGGAACTTCCATCTCTAAATCCAAGATATCCTTGATTTGGAAATGACATTGACCGGCCAAATTCTGGTTCCCCAGATCTAGTGAGGCCTAAATCATCTGCATTTTCTGCCTCGTAAATCTCCCTTTGTAATTGTTCAGCAGCAATTACATCGTCATTATCTACTTCAGGTGGTGGTCTTGGACGGCTTTGTAGTTTTTTCAGACGCTTAGGATCTAATGGTGGAGGTTTCTCCTTACAGATTGCACATGCCATCTGCCTGTCAACCATTTGATCAAAACATTTCATGTGATAGGCATGTTGGCAGTTTGGCCACCTCCTCACCCGGATGTCTCTCAGGTCAAAAGAGCGGACCCTCCTGAGCAATGAATCTTGACATATTGGGCAATTTGTTAACTGGAACCATACACACATTGATTCAAAAATGAATTTGATCAACACTTAACTCTGATCCCATTCAAACACACATACTCACCGGAGGCTTTGGTCTTTTGGAATCAACAGTTTTCGGTGGGGCCACATCAGAACCTTCAGACACTTCAATCTGACTTGAAGTTGAAGGCTGTGTTGAATGCCCTGGCAGTTGGGTTGCATTCTCCACAACTTCTTCTGTTGTGGATGGAATCAGACTTGAAGTTGAAGGCTGTGTCGAATGCCCTGGAAGTTGGGTTGCATGCTCCACAACTGCTTCTGTTGTGGCTGGTGTAAGAGCTTGGTGTGATACATGAAAAAGCTTGTTCAAGAAGGTATATACAGTTCCTCTATGTCAAAATGTGTTTTTACATTAGTGCAAAGAGAAAAGTAAAAGAATTGCTCTAACCAAAATGAGGGTGAAGTAGGAAACCATGGCCACCATTTTCTCAAGACGTAAAATAAAATGCAAGCACACGTGATGTTGTAGTTCAATCTATTTTATCTGTAAGTCTGTCAGCAGTGGTAATTCATTGTCAGTTGCACCCTCAAGTTTATAATGTGTTGACAGTTTGTCCCCACAAAAAGTCAATTTGGATTGGTGATAGAATCTTTAGCTTATATGAAGGGGGTGTGAAAGATCATAGAAATGAGCACCTGGTACCTAGAAAATGTAGCACTTCATCCACATGTGGGTGAAAAGCTTTTGGAAACTGAGGATTCTGCTCAGGATTGAGACTGATAGTCAGCAAGCAGAGATTTGGGTAGTTTCTCTTCTTTATAAAGAAGACAATGGGCACATGTGCCCAACAAAAGTGTCAGTTTTTTTAGCTACCCATCAGTAAACAGTGGGGATCTTTTTTCAGGTTTTCTAACCAGGTTTTCAAAAATGTACAACTTTCTGCATTCAAGTGATCTCAGCCGTTCTGACAAAGACTTTGGATTATGATCACAAGCAGATGGATAAAGGGATTGAGGAATCCTGACCATGCATTGTCTCAGGTGCCTGAATTGTGTCAAAATCAAATCATTCATCATTCTGGTTTCATACTCAACCAAGAAGCTGCAGCAATTTTGGTTAATACAATTCCCCTCACCTCTTGCCCAAAAACCTTGCTACTGTTAAAAAGATTCAACTTGAAAGGTCAGGTTTATATAAAATATAATACAACCTCTTTTAAGTGTCTGAGGTCTACTCAATTAGTAGATTTAAAAAATATAAACTAACCCTCTGTGCAATTCAAAACAAAACAAAATTCCTGATTTTGAAACCTTCAATTTGAAACACTAAACCAAGAGTGAAATACTGATGATCTAATGGGTATGTACTGTGATTTAACAGTTACATAATATCTGCAAACACACCAACTGGATTCAACTATCTGAGGCATGATGATAAAAGCAGAAACATGTGCCACTTCTGATGGTTATCCAGATGTAACCCCTACAGTGCCCCATACACCCCTGCTCTTCTGCAAAAAATGACAAACTTTGATACGAATGATTAAATGTATTATTCACACCAAAAACATGCAATATTGGGGTTCATGATTGAGCTTTTGGATTCTGGTTTTGCTAAAAACACTCTTGTTTGTATACAGCTTGGATGTTGGATTTTGCTTGTAGCAAGTGTGTATTTAGGCTCCATTTGGACACATTGTTACGTGTTATAAGTTTTAAAGTTCGGCACCAAATTGTATGATGTATACATATCAATATAAAACAATCCTGTGCTAAACTTTATGATTTATAACATATGTATAACAGTGTCATCTAAACAGGGCCTCAATGATTTGTGATATTTGCAGTAGGCTGTACCGCTGCTGGTTTGGGATAAGTGAGTTTATGTGAAATTCCAATCATGAAAACTTTGAACAGGATGGTTCACGTCTGAACTTTGAGGCAAATTTAAGGACATTTATCATTTAAATTGTGCAAATTTATCAAAAATCTCAAATTCCTCCAAACTTGATGGTTCATGAAATTTTACAAAATTCATAAAATTTTATCTTCAAGTGCGTTAAAAGTTGCCTTGAACTTCGGAGGTGAACCTGCCTGATATGCATCAAAATATGCTACATTAAACACAGAACAAGAAAAGATGTAGGGCATGTCTGTAGGAAGCCCCAAAAAAGTATCTTAACCAGTTGGAGGTACTGTATTCCCAATTGCTACATGTTTTGTTTTTCCACATTTGATGTAGCATCTTTGGATGTATATTACATGTTTGTACATAGTGTGAATAATGCATGTCATCATTCAGAGGAAAGCTTGATCTTTGCCGTAGGAGAGAAGTAGTTGGGAAGTTGTGTGGGACACTGTACCGTTGTAATGTATTGTTCATGACATCATTTACTGAATGTTAGTTGATGCATCACATTTTCAAACCCTCCTTTCAGTGGAGCACTTCCTGTGCAAACTGGAGCCCTCAAAGAATCTGATCTAGGCTCAAAAGCTCTAGATTCTTGCAGAGAAATTTGGTTTTGGGGGCTCTAAATTGGCAACGGTGGGCCAGTTACACTAACTGTAGTGTTAGTGTAGCGCAATTCCGCAACTTTAGCGTAGCGAATTCCACCACATCTGCCCCAATGATCCCAAGACCCCTCTCTGCGCTTGTCCTCGTGGATTGCTCAAAACTGTCTTGGCTAAGTTGAAAAACCAAGCCGGGATGGTCGCGCTTGCTGGCATCGAGGTGCGTGCCACAGTCTTGTTATCCCTCCAACGTGCATAGGCCCCAAAAAAGGGCCCACTACGCTACACTAACACTACAAAATTTTGGTGCAAAAAAGTGCCGCTACGCTACGCTTTTTGGGCCAAAAGCGTAGCATCCCACCGCTGAAATTGGTCATGGGGGACCCACAGATGTTGGCAGGAAGTCATCTAGTATGCAAGCTGGCTAACTGCAGGCCCCTATTCTGAGCAAATTGTTTGATTGCATGTCCCCAAAGGGGTACAAGCCTCAAAGTGTGATGTGCTGTGCTTGCCATGCTCACCTCCTTGGGGGTCTGCATAAGCTCTCAATTTAGGTGATTCCATTAGCACAGCAACTGAGGCTGAAGGATCTCAGTGGGCCATGTACTTTTTTAGACAGAGCTCATGATTCATCCCAATAGGGAGGCTCAAGCAGTCAAGCAGCTTCATTAATCTCATCCTTTTTTCCCACCCTTTTCAAGCATTGATATAATGTTTCTCTCCTTTTTTTTTGAGGGGGCACAATATCATGAGACTGCACCCAAGTCCCCACGAAATACCCCAAAAAGACTATCGTTTTTCTATCGTCACATAAACATATTCTAAGACTAAGAGGTGGGGGAAGGAAAGTATCTAACAATTAATGTACTGGAGTATATGGATCTGTCTATCTAGCTCACTACAATCATTACATCTAATTATCTTCTATCAATCCTCACATCTAATTATCTTCTACGTATGTTCTTCAATCAGTCAATCCATTGTCTTGTGAGGGGAGGGGGAGAGACGGAGCAGCAGTTCGAATGCTTGACGGATATGCATGTTGATGATTTCCGATGTGTTCAGGGAGGCCCGGGACAAGGAGTATAACCCTGAGCATGAGGATTATGATGATTCTGATGAGGAGCGGTGCATCGGGTGCCCACACGGACGTGGCCGCACGTTCCGGGCGTATGCCATTGTTCCCTATTTTGGGTGCACAAGTGGGTATGGCCCTGGGTGCAGGTGTATTGGGTGTTGCATCGTCCCACGGGAAGCTCGAGCAGTCGATGGTCATTGAAGTACCGCGTGCATCCGCCGATTTGTTGGCAGGGCGTGACGATCGCATCCACTGAGCCGAGTGTCATGATGCTGGCCATCAGCAGGCTCCACCTCAAGATCGAAACTTGCATTGCGGAAACAGAGGGCGGAAATGGTTGTTAAAACCAGGTAAAGCTCGAGGTGTCGACGGTTATTCGAAGTGCGGACGGTTCCTCTTACCAAGTTGTCCAGGTCTATAGTGTACAAGAGGTGGGTACAAATGAGCTAATGGTCATGTTGCGCTGGTCTTTAAGTACCTGGGTTCTGGTTTCAGAAGTCATTTCTTGCAAACGGGTTGAAGGGTTAAAAATCAGCGAGTTTCAGATACCGGCTGCCGATGTCCGAGACCTCCTCGAGGCTCGGCCGCGAGGTACGGACACCGGTAGCATTAAATACAGGCCCCAAAAACACGCTAATTCGTAAGAGCCAAACAAGAAGCTGCAGAGCTGGGGCAGCCCAAGCGGCATTTTAGACCAGCTTAGATTGATTCAGTGCCATCTGAAACTTCGGCAAACCAATGCTCATTCTGTTTGATGCTTGGTAATGGGCTGCCATAAACCGGTCATGTGTTCACAAAACATGAACTAATCAAGAAAACAAGACGTGTCTGAGAGAAAGGTATCTTGCTAGTCTTTATTCGGAGGAGGGACGCCGTCCCGCAGGGACCCTCCGAAGGAGGAAGCCATAGGATGAAACTGCCGGAGGTACTTTGTTGAGTTAGGGAAGCATTCCAAAGCACATAAGGATACATAGTTGGCTGCGTGTGTTTGTGGTATGAGTACTGGAGACAAATAAAGAAATTGGTGAGAAGGTTCATAGCTTGATAGGATCGATCCCGGCATTCTCGACGGCTTCGGTTAAGACGGCAAGAGATGACCGGTCTCTGGGCAGGATCTCGATCAAAGAGTCGTTTAGATCGATCGGATGGGAAGAGAATCCGGTCGAGAACTCGACCGCTCTTACAAACTCTTCGGGGCTCAAGAGACTTGACTCTTTGATCTTGATCTCAAAGCTCCACAAGAGCCTGGTAAACGTAATAAACAATGATCTGTTGTTGTTGAGTAATGATTGTCGACCGGAGTCAGTTTCTTGTGAATGGAATCATGAAGAGACGACGGATTGACTGAACTTGTTAGCAATGTGCAGCGCCGGACAAATTCTTCTGCCGAAGCCAAAGGCATGATGGCCATAGACAGAGGATTTAGTGCCGATGAGCGAGCCGGTCTGAGGGTCAATGAACCGTTCGGGTATGAATTTGGACGGATCCTTGTAGGTCTCTTCATCCAAATGAATCGCCCAATGGTTGGCGACGATTGTCGTCCCTTTGGGTATAAAATATCCTTCATATTCGTCGTCTTCCGTCGACATGTGTGCTAAACCTATTACATAAGAGAGAAAACAAATTCATTCCTCAAAATCACCCTTCAGGTTGTGCTTCTTTCTTCTGGCTCTTTCATCGGACTTACCGCCGGGTATCACCGTTCTCCATCTTAAGAGCTCCCTTACCATCGCCCCACAATAAACCAATCCATCCTCATCCGAGAATTCAGGCAATCGTTCCCTGCCGACGAGCCGGTCGAGTTCCTCCTGCGCCTTGGCTACTTTCTCCGGATTAGCAGCACATGCAAAGATGAAGGTCTCGATCGCATCTGCAGTCGTGTCACTACCAGCCCCAAACTTGGAAGAAAAACAAAAGGGCGTGGATATTGAGATATCAGAAGATGATCTGAGAGCGAGACAATTGATTTCTGACCATTGCCCCGGCTAAGAAGATAGCCTGATCATCCGTCAATCGATACGACTCTTTGAGACTCTCGATCCTCGCCACAAAGCAAGCACCATCACTAGGGGCCAGATTGGGATGAGGAGACTCGGAGCGAAGGACATCTCGATAAAGCTGGCCGAAGAGGGCGAGAGTCTCGTTGAATAATCGGTTCCCGTATCGTTTCCAGGGGGAGAGGATTGCGGGTAGATAGGATAAGATCGGGATCGAGTCGATCAGATATCGGCCGGGTACCGCCGTCTCGATCATCTTCTCATTGCATTCTCTCATCTTGGTGATCGCTGGATCTTGGAAGCTCAGGGCTCGACGATTGAAGGCGATTTGCAAGACAGTCGAGCCTGCATATCTAATTAACTCCCCCAACAAAAGGTTAATTTAATCCTCCACAAAGGAAATTTTAAGTGGAGGTGATGATGAACCTTTGAGAATGCTTCCAATGGTCGTTTGGATGGTTGAGGATATCCAGACAGAGCTGGGCGGATTCCTGGGCTTGGATGGGCTGATAGTTTGCAGCGGCCTTAGGCTGAGTGAGCAGATGGAGTAGCTTGCGTTGTCTTCGCCAGAGATCATTGTAGGGCATGAATGTGAGCCTGAGTCCTTTGGAGACATACTCTGAGGTCATGATGTTCCTGGGTCTGGATGAGTATTTCGATGACCTCTGTTCTAATAAGTCTACTGCTGCCTTGGGTGATCCTAATACCTGTGTGGACTCGAGGAAATAATGAAAGTCGAGCATCTCTCAACATTCTGTATATTTATTTTTCTTGAAAAACCTATAAACAAAAAACTGACGATCAAATCAGAGCTACCCATCTTCAAACGATAGATAGGGCCTAATTAAAATAACAACGACGGGTCAGTAGATATCACTAGATTAAGAAGATTTCAAGGACCACGACCGACCGAATTGTTTAGTCCATCTGGCCATCTGAATCCAAGGGTTTGGTCGTCGGATTTGGTAGAGATTCCCGATCCATGGCCAGCCGGTCGGTTGTGGTATCTCCTTTTTAATAGTTTTCTTGTCTGTCTGGTGGTGGTGGTGGTTTCTTATCTTCTTGTTCCTGTTAGAGTAACAAGCCTGCAGATATAAGGTTAGGATGGCGATACTGATGAGGATGGTGATATTCTCTGAGATTGATAACATCCTTCTTGTAAATATCTTTTCTCTCCAGGAAATGTTTCCCACCCAGTTCTTTGAAATCAAGCTGGTTGCAGAGTGATCTCATTCTCATCTGGCCCATTCGGAATCCGGGGTACATACAATGACGATCGGAGGTAAAGTTCAATGTAAGGTTTCTGTGACATCCAGCCTGTCAGCTGCTTCAGTGACATCCCTCATCACATGCCCTCATCACATGAATTGATCCCCAGAAACTCAAACCTTAACCAACCAACCAACAACAACAGTCAAGATGGCCACAGCACTCCCAACACAGATCAAGGCGGTCATCTTCGATATGGTGAGGGGGTATATCCTTCTCAGATAATAATCATAATCACACTGATTCTATCTCCATTTTATCTAGGATGGCTTATTGTTGGACTCAGAAGTGAGTGTGTACAATTCTAATCATATTATAATGTTCTTATGTTAATTCCACACACATATTCAGCGTTTATACACTCAAGTCACCAACGAGGTCTTAGCACCCTACAACAAACAGTTGACCTGGGAGATCAAGGCGATGTTGATGGGACGACCGTCAGAAGAATCGGCGAGGATCTTGATCGAACGGACCGGGATCCCACTCTGCCCAGACGAACTGATCTCGATGTTTGCCACCCGCCAACGCACCCTCTTCTCAACCGTCCAACCCATGCCTGGGGCTCTAAAACTCGTCCAACATCTTCAAAAGTCCAAGATCCCAATAGCCGTTAGTCTCTGCTCATATTGATTCCATACTCCAACAAAAAAAAGCTGAAACTTCTGCTCCCCTCTAGATTGCTACAGGCTCAAGTTCGACTAACTACAAACTGAAGAGTGAAAACTTGAGTGAACTATTCTCGGCCTTCGAAGCCAAAGTCGTATGCGGCGATGATCCCGAGTTGAAGCGAGGCAAGCCGCATCCGGATCCATTCTTACTAGCCGCCGCTCGGCATCTAGGCATGAAACTAGAACCCGATCCGATCACTGGCTTCCTCGAACCCCCATCAGCCGACCAATCATCATCATCATCATCATCATCAGAAGGAGCTCTCAGACCAGAGCAGATCTTGGTCTTTGAGGACGGGCTGGCCGGCGTCCAAGCTGCCAAGGCCGCAGGCATGAAGGTCGTCTGGGTCCCCGACCCCGAACTCAAAAACGTCCTCCTCCGTCAGAATGACAAACAGTCTCGTGTCGCAGCCGATCAGGTCTGGATTCCTTGCTCGACTGGAACGGGGCCGATTGTCTCTCCCTCCATTTGATTCATGATCAAATACACCAAAAAACATCTGCGATTCACAACGAAACGTGATCCCATCTTGAAAAAAAAAATGAATGAATGAACATAAAAGTAGAATACACATATGGACTTGCAATTTCTTCATACATAGATCATCTTGCTTACACATGAACTAACTACATACCAATCCAAAGACCAAAAAAGTAACAAAAAAAGAACCTATCATCTGTACTTGCTCTCCTCCTAATCTTTATGATGCTCTCACTAGTGTCTCAATTTCTCATCAATGAACCTAGATTTCAGAATCACACCTATAATGTACATAGAAACCCCTGTGCTTGACACACTTTCTGTTGATTCAAGAGATCAACCATCGACCGAAAATAATCCGTGTCCTTTTCTCGACACATCCATCATTGATTTTGTTTTGATTTGTCGAACTGATATCATGAGTTGAAGTTCATAATTCACGGTTCTTGTGTTTGTTGCTGCCTCAGGTGAAAGTGATCTATCGACATAAATACATGTACCCTTTTGTGTCCAAAGTTGAGTGCTGAAAGTCTATGGGTTTCTCCTCCTGGATTGCTGCAAGATCTTCACCAACCAGAAGATCCATTATAAACTCGTTTCAGTCCAACATGACGCTTGACCTCTCACTGGACTGACGACTTCAAGCCCACATGTGGGCTGGCACGTGGCTCATTCCTAATTATGTGTGTGATCTTGGGCAAATCGATACAAGAAACCAACAAATTTACCCATTGATGAACAAAACACACACACACACACTATGGACTTGACTTTGTCGCCCATAAGTGTTTCTCGCAATCCTTGGTCACTGGGTGTGTGTGTTGTTTTGCCAGATGCGCATCCCTTCGATTGTACATGGCCTATAGAGCCGGTACCGTCGTGGCTTGCAGCGTTGTACTGTGTTTAGAGAAGTCATCGTCTGGGGCCACGCTGGTTTCGCTTAAATCTCCGCAGACGGCACAAACATATATGTAAGAGAAATGAAAAACGGCCTGCCTTGGCTTCACTCCTCCTCCTCCCCATCCGTCCATGGCGATCTTTCATCACTCATTAACTGGATGTCTGACTCATCTGTTGGTCTGTTTTCTCCGATTGCCGAGACGAGCGTTTTGTTCTCGATGACATAACACTTTATGTAGTAATTTTCCACAAAAAAAAAAGGTTTGCAGCTTCATTGATGAGACTCTTGTTGGTTAGTGGTAATCTACGTGCGCTGAGAAAACAGAAAGCCCGTCAAGAGATAAAAAGCAGCCATGAGCTATCACTTTTCAAGTTGTCGAGCAAATCAGGTTATCTCGGAGATATCCAGTTGCCCTGCCATACGGACCGTAGATACCTATGTTGTATTCGTTTGTCCAACCCGGTTGATGTCCTACCCGTCGGAGACTCTTTCCAGTCCGATAAAGTAGGTTACCAAAATCGAGGGTGATTTGGATTGGAGCAGTTCTGTCTGGCCAGGCTGGTGCATATAGTCGACCGGATGCCGGGCAGATCCAGAGATGGGAGGGACCGGAAAGATATGTTACCAACTAAACTGATTGGGGATGGGCGAAACCACTCTGGGGCCATGGCCATGTCCTGCTTGGTTGCTATTCTACTTCCTCTAAGCAGCGGGTGTTCTCCCCTAAGGCCACGCGCAGACAGTCCACCAATATATAAACACCCCATCTTGTGTCCTCCATCCTTCCTTTCACTTTGCTAAGCTTCAACCCAGCCCCACACGATCTCGTCAGACTCCCAGATCCTACTATCCTTAACCAAGACATCAATCAGCCTTCCAGCCTCCCTTGATCATTTCCCAAGAACCCTGAAAAATTCTCACCCAGCGTCTTCTGTCAATCACCGTCTTCCCAATCACCCAAACATACCAAATATGAAGTTCACTTTCGGGGTACTTTCCATCGTCGCAACCATCCTTAGCACTCCAACAGTTACGGCTGTCCCCACACATGGCGTAAGTTTGAATAGTCTCCTTACAGTTTATCTATGGCAGTGATTTTGATTTTATTGGAACTAAATCCTCAACAACAACAACCTCTTTTGAACAGTTTCTTGGCAGACACGGAGGCTATGGTGGCGGGTACGGTGGAGGATACGGTGGCGGGTACGGTGGAGGATATGGTGGGGGGTACGGTGGGGGTTATGGAGGCTACGGTGGAGGCTATGGAGGCTTAGGTGGAGGGTACGGAGGTTATGGTAGAGGATATGGTGGAGGCTATGGAGGAGGCTATGGTGGAGGATATGGAGGAGGGTACGGCGGAGGTGGTGGAGGACTTGGCTTTGGGGTACGTGTCCTTGGCTCATCTCATCCTTTTCGAAATGTCTGCTAATTCTCTTGCCTGTTTGGTATGTTTCACACCTCAGCTCGGCCTTGGTGCAGGCGTCGGCATCGGCATCTAAACTATTTGGCGTTGGCATGCTATAAGCCCACAAGAGGGATCCACGAAGATCAAAAATTTGGTTCCAAGTCCTCCACGGCCTTGCTCATCTCTTGGATAATGACAACAACCTCATCAAATCAGATCCATTCTTCAAGGAAATAATCATTCTCCACACCCTGCAGCGTTCCCTTGTCTCGGGTTTTCATTGGTCTCGTTGTATTTAACTTTATTGTATCTTTACTTGGGATGTATCATAGGATTTTTTGGCAATCAAAGCAACATAGACCTAGAATCCATCAAGCTAGCACGACTTGCACAGCTCTAGATTTATTTATTGACGGGGCAGCGTCGTAGGCCTGGGTCATGATCCTCATTCCCAACATCATGTTGAAACCTATCTCTTTGCACATTTTTCACAGACCAGCAAATTTTCTCATCATTAGAATTACACAAGGTCTGTTGTGAGGTGATACAATAGCAGAAAGAATAAGACAATAGGCCAGTTCACGTAGCTGCTCATCCGCAGTTAAAAAAATTAAGATGAGCAACATTTTACCAAATTCTCTCCTAAATTTTTACCTTAAAAATCCCCGGGATTTCAAACCCATGAGCAATCTTAAAGTACCTTGACAAGCAGATGGAAACGTGCCCATCTTCTAAGTCACTCCATACATCTCCATCCCCCGCTTCCCCCTACACCCCTTAGCTCATTGTGGCACTACTCTCACTTTTCAAACACCTCGGCACACTCACAGCACACTCTCACCCAACAAAAGTAGCTTGCTTGTAAGTACAATAATCAATTCCACCTACATTAATAATTCTGCCTGACAGACTCACATGATTTTTATTCTAGCATAATGAGAGGTTATTCAGAAAGGCAGAGCCTCATCCGTGATATGTTTATGATTATCGTATGGATGGAGCATAACGAAGTGGAAGATATGGTCGACGCTGCGATTTTACGACGGAAACCATTCCCAACTGACGGGGAGATAGCCTTCCCTAGAAACAGACTACTTCAGCTGATGTATGACCTCCTCTTAAGCGATCGGGCATTATTTGAAGAACAACTTCAGATCATCCTGAGAAGCCGGTATCTGTCTCCTCGTCCAACACCGAAAACTCGAGACGAATTCGACCTCGAAAGGCTTTTCAACATGCCAGACATGGACTTCCGACAAGCTGCACGGACCACAAAAGCGGGCTTTGTTGAAGTACTTGACATTATCTGCATGAACCCAGTCTTCCATTGTGGGGGTATTCGTCCGCAGCTACCAATTGCTCATCAACTGGCATTGACTCTAGAGCGCCTGGGATCAAATGGGAATGCAGCCTCTGTTGGCCGCTTCTCTCGGAACTTGAATGTTAGCCGAAGCACTGTCATCAAAGCCACTCAACAAGTCATTGAGGCTCTTGTTTCCTTAGGTCGACAGTACGTTATGTGGCCCAATACCACTCGTTGGGCTGAGATCTCCGAAGTTATGAAGAACGAGGGATTCGTTGGATGTGTTGGATTTGTTGACGGAACAACCATTCCCCTATTCCAGCGGCCTGGTTATGACGGCGAGGTATTCTATGACCGAAAAAGACGGTATTCGATCAATGCTCAAATAATCTGTGATTGTGACAAGTACATCACATCATTCATCACAGGCTGGCCTGGTACATGTGGGGATAGCCTAGTTTACAAGCGGATGCAGCTGCATCTCAACCCCTCCCAGTATTTTGATGATGGTAAGGTGTCTGTTTGTTTTGCTCAAATGTCTTACAATTCTCTAAGTTGGCTTCTGATTTTGGTTATCTCATTTATTTGCTTTTTTAGGTCAGTACTTATTGGCCGACTCAGCTTATGAGGTCTCAAAAACAGTGGTTCCAGCCTACAAAAACCCATCAGCCAAGATTCCGATCAATGCCGACTTCAACTACTGCCTTGCAAAGGCTTGAGTTCGCAACGAACACATCATTGGTGTCCTAAAGTCTCGATGGAGTTCTTTGTGCAAAATGTGATTGCACCTCTATCGTCGCAATGATATGCGGGAGTATGTAGCCTGGCTTTACAGCTGCATCATCCGGCACAACATACTTGCCAAGCTCGGCGATCAGTGGGCTGAGATGGCCAACGAGAATTCCAACAGCTTGCCTGCTTCACCGGCTTTTCCAACTGAGGATAATGAGGATGGTGATTCCTTTCCAAAACGATTGACAATCGAATGTGTTAAGTTCAACTACCAAAAGGGTGTCCTCCCTATTTAAATTTCACCATACAGTTTTTCTTTCATGTCTCACTTTTTTGGTCTCATTTTATCTTTTCAACTTATGACAGTGATTCTTTCCTTGACTCATTTGATCTTTTCAACTTATGACAGTGATTCTTTCCTTGACTTTTCACTCGGTTTTGCTTGTCTTGTCTCACTTGCTTGTCCTTCAAGTTTTGATTCAGAAATCAGATCGATCGATTGGTTGATAACTCAGAATAAAGAATCTCGGTTTTGCTTATCTTGTCTCACTTGCTTGTCCTTCAAGTTTTGATTCAGAAATTAGATCGATCGATTGGTTGATAACTCAGAATAAAGAATGATAACTCAGATTAATTCAATACCGAAAAGATTTAGTAATCAATAATCAATCAATCTGATAGATTACTTAGAGAAAGACCATTCAATCAGTTTGATTCCTGAGAGACAGAAACAGCTGATTGATCGGTTAGATTACTTAGAAAAAGAAACAACCGATTGATTGGTTAGATTAATTAGAGAAAGAAAGAAGGAGAGATTGACATGAAAATGAATAAGTGAATAAATGAATTTTTCAATAAAGATGAAATGATTGATCAGTCATTGGCCAGCCGGAGTTGAAATTGAAGAGATGAAATTGGTAAGAATGAAATCAAGAATAAATCAATCAAACAAGAGCTTCAATTTCTGAGGGTGATATACCCTGGGTAATGAGCTCCCGCACCATCAATGCTTTTTCAGATCAAATCGCTTTCTCCTGAGCCTCCTTTTTGTTCATTCGTTCCTCCTCTAGGCGATATCAATCTCGTTCCCATTGTAGTTGGGCATCCAATTGCTTATCTTTTCTCTCATTGGCCAACCGCTCTTGATCGTCCTTTCTTTGGGCTCGGGCATCTTCACGATTCATCCTTTCTCTCTCCATGTTCATCTGGGATTCAACCATCTGGAATCAAGTGTCGGTAGAGTTGCTGAAAGCCGCTGCTAAGGTTGCCTTCGGTGCTACTTGAGGAGGAGCTGACTGTGCATTGGCCATCGAACCAGTTTTTCCAATAGGGGTTGGCCGGCCACGGCCGCGACTTGAGTTTCTACCTCGTTCGGACGGAGTTGGGGTGGCTTGAGGCCTCGATTGGCCTGATGTACTGCCAGCTCGTGTTTGACTGTTGTGTAAATTGGCAGCTGGTGCTTGAGAGTGTGCTTGCGCCGGACGATAGCCCGCAAGATCAAGGGAGCTCAGACTGGGAAAATTCATACTTTGAGGAGTCGGAGTACTGTTTGGTAGAGACAGCGAGTCAGGGAGCTCGTCAGCCGAAGCCGTTGATTGTCTAGGGTCCCACCCGGAGTAAAAGATTTCAGGAGAAGAGTCCATATGATTTTCGGCGTGTTCGTCTTCCAGATCATCATTCCCCACTGCTCCATCGTCTTCTTCGTCATTCGGGAGATGTTGTGGAAGCTCTTGAGAAGGCATCGAGTGATCGAATTCATACATTGAGGTGACATTTGCCTTCTGTCCCAGGAGGATATCTAGACGATGATAGCACGGACATTTCTCTTCAAGTAAATCGTAGAGATTCTGGGGCCCATCCAACTCCTCAATACCTGCGCCAGTATTCTCCTCAAACCTCTTCGTCTCGACCATGTTATTTTCCAATAAAAAACATGCAAGTATATACATAAATTGGATCACTCACAATAGCGATAACAGTAAAAACGGATGTAAACATTCCCAATGAGCTCCCTGCAGTTATGGATAATACTTTTAGGAAGGGTTGCCATTCCTTCTTTGTGTTGATACATAAGTAATTCACACCGATTTTTGCACCTTGCAATTCCCTGGCAGCGGTGCTCATCAAGAAACTATTGATACTGAGGGTGTGGTTGAACATTGCTTGGATGGTGTCTGGAAGCTCGGCTAGACTACTGTTGAATCCAAGTAGTAGCAAGTCGCCAATATCTGTCACAGTGATACGAAATTTAGACTGGCCTGATAACTCGAAAGCATCCAACATGTTGGGCACAGTCGTATCGTGGGTCGTAATTCCTTGGGGTGACTGTTTCATAGTCCCGTCCTTGACTATAATAGTTCCTTCAGGTGATTGAATGCTCCTTGGATCAGTTGCCGCACTCATACCCCCAGGCACCGCCGGTGGGATTAATATAACACGGTCAAGGCTCAGTGACAACTGTAAAACGTTGCATTGATTTATTTGTGTTCTCTGGTATGTGTCGATTTGGGTCTCATTGTAACTTGGGGGAAATGCTGATCGTCGGAGAGAATTCGGAGGTATTGACAACCTACTATAGAAGTCATCCAATTCATAGCTGAATCCCGCAACCGGTTCTCGTTATTTGAAAAGGTTTGTGAGATTCTGAATAAATTTTGAAAAAAGATTCACTCACTATTCCCTTGCAAATCGGTTAAATATCTGAGAACTGCCGTAACTGTATGTATTCAAAATGGTATCAGTGCTTCTTATGTTAGCAAACAAATATAACGGGAGCTTTGAGCTTCCGAGTACGTACGTCGTAATACCCAAGTCATACAAAGTACACATTTCAATCGTAAACTCAGCATCCCCAAACACACAACTACCGCAAATTCTGGCAAATCATAGTTGGGTGTGAGTGGCAAGAAGATTGTCAGGTGGGATTTTACACTTGGCTCACCCAAATGAAAATTCTTTGGTCTGAAATCTATAATCTGACCGAGCTCGAACAATCTATTGAGAGGAAGCATAAAGAAACAATGGTATCAGCAAGGGTTCAATTGATATCCATTAGGATAAAATCTCAGCAGCTCCTCCCGGACTAACCGTACAGTTCAGAGTTTCAGCGCTGTAAAGGAAACCGGTCCTTGTCTTAAACTCCGACAATATTCCACCTTTGCCAGTCAAGGCGTAGATTTTCCATTGAAAAATACCAGGAGACACGTAAAATTCTTCGTGTTCTTCTGATCAAGTTCCATTGCTTTCAACAGTCCACGGGATGGTGAGAAGGTTTTGGTTTAGTGCTACTGGACTTGGCTGGCAAGTAATATTTTCCCCATTTTTTTGCACTGTTTGGTTCGCAAATTGTGGTGATAGAAAGGGTCTTTTGGTAAATCCAAAACATCATAACATCAAATTTCCATTTTAAACTTTGAGATCTTCATTGATCCACATCCTCAAAAATTGAAGCTAGGGAAACACACACAACATGGTTATTTTTTCCCCTTTATCATGTGCGCGTAAGGGAGGTGAGGAACAATGAGTGATTTAAAAAGGTGTGAGAATGCCAAAGTACATAAATGCTCACTGAGTGAATAAGTTGAAAAACACCAAACCCATCAAAGCTAGCATCTAAGGACAGAACCCATACAAGGTCAGAAAAGCGCGATCCGCTAGGGCAAGGCAAGTAAAATGAGCCTTGCAATCAGCAGGTGCTTGGCGGCCTTACGGAGACAATCAGTACTGAATAGAAAAATCGTCGGGGGTTTCTTGTTAGTAACTCATGATAAGACTCTTTGCTGTCAGTTCTTTAAAATGACTACTGACTTGTTGGTGCTATCTTGTGATTCTGTTTTTTTTTTCATAATTGGGTATTCATCAAATAATGAGAGGATGCCCGAAATTGGTTTAAACCTCATCACGGTCTCAGATTCAGTGGAAGGAAATGTGAAAGATTTCGAAGCTGTTCTGGATAATAAGGAAAATTGTAATGTTGAAGGACACACAACCCGTCATAAAGTTACCTGTCCGTGATTGAAGGAAAACAGGCCTTGGCTTAAAACAGGCCGATGACATTCACGAATCAAATAGAGCCTTCAGTGTCCAAAGACATGAAGCTATCCACCAATGTCTTGCCTCATGGAATCAGCTGCTACTGAGATAGTCTGAGATATCTAGATATCCACTTGAAGCATATATTGGAATTCCAGTCGAGAAACTTTTGACTGGGTGCACGGCACCCGCGGTGGAGATCTTCTGTTTAGTTTTGCTGTGAACAGCATAGCTGCTAACAAAATCCATGTCTATCCTCCAGAAATCCGGTGGCTTCACCGTGTGGGCAATCGGTGAAGACTAATATATGATGGGTTTGGCCATTCTGACGTGACTATACAGGAAGATGACTGACAAGGTCTACCAGTCGGCACTAGGCGGTCATCAACCGGTGAGCCTGCTCCCTCGGCCGACATGGTTGGAGCAATATTCACACCCTGTTGGAAGGGCCACCGGCATGCTTGAGAGCCGCCCGGACACTTCCAACAGCGTACCACATTGTTCACATTCCTCCAACCTATGCTTGAATTTTTCTCCATGAGCACTCATTCATAACTGCCGCCAGGTGACTTCAGTGTAGTTGGCAAACCAGAAGGAAATGCCAGAATGGATGGAACCAGTTTGATACAACCTTGTAGGTGTTACAAGCCAGGACAGCTTGTAACACCAGGAGAAGCTGAGGGTGACCTGAGTGCAAAAAACCTGCTTTGTAGAATGGGTGGTGTTATTAAATCAGCAAGAGGTTCTTGACATCCTAGATGGTGTATTCACCTTTGGTGTCAGCTTGCTACTATGGCAGAGAAAACCTGTCATAAGCAAATAAAATAATAAATTACACAAAAACTTAAGTATAAAGTAAAAATATTACATAAGTAAAAGGAACACCATTACTTATGTAAATAATATAAAAATACATAAAATAAGTAAATAGTAGAAAGAAACCTTTGAATATTATTGCATATTCTGAATTGACATACAATTTAACCTAGGGTACCTCAGCCAAAGGTACCCCTAATTCTCACTCCTTCAGCCTGTAATACACTCTTGAATAATTAACAGGTACCCTTGGATCACGGGCTCTGGATAATCATGCATTATACATAATGGAGGACTTCCCATTGGTTCTGGGATCCCCGCAGAAAAATATTTACAGCGCAACACTCCAAAATTCTAAATTCGCGCTTCCGTCATCGGGACTTGGTAAATCTACAAGACTACACCTCCATCTGGTTCTTCCCCAATCCTGACCAACCAAGCCTGCAGCCTCATCAGTCAACCCACAAATGCACCACTCCAATACAACCTCCATCTGTCACACACCATAACCACTTCTCAACTAACTGCTTCCAAACGGTGAGTTACATATCCATTTTTTATTTTTTCATACACCGGCAACATCATCTGACTTGTACCACCAGCTTCTGGAGTGCACCCCTCCAGGTTACCGCGTAATCAGTGACACCGCCTTCCCTCGAAAATCCAAGAGACTCAAATCTCATATGCTTGCCCCGGCTAAGCAGGGAGACCAATTACCTTCTGATTCTGTTGACTTTTCTCGACTCCAGTTACTCAGCAAGCAAATTGTGTCTGCCCAACAAGCAGCTGAGTGGGGCATGTGATCAATCCAAGGATCCTTTGCATGGTTGAAACCCCCATTACCAGCAAGTGACCATCAACATTGAGCCAATCTTCTCCAAGTTGTATGCTGACTTCACCAAATCCGCTGCCAATCAGTTGGGATCAACCAAACAGCCACTGTCTATCAGTCAGTATTGGATGAGAACAACACTCTCTGTCACAATTTCCACAACATGCTATTTGGGGATATTCAAGGCCAATGTTGTATATCTTGTTATTATGATGGGTGGTTATGATGTATTTTTTCCTTTGAATCTTTTGACATGTTTCCTAATCACAAGAATTTGTCTTTCCTTTCCTCTTTCTTTCAATATAGTAATGATGGATTTGTAAAAGTAACTATCAATCAAACATTCATTATGTGTCTTGTTGACAGTAGAGATCGATTGATCAATCATCAAGAAAACACATTGCTCAATCAATTGTCATGTGTTTTCCTGATGATCAATCAATCGTCAAGTAAACACATTGAGAGATGGATCAATCATCCACTAGATTCTGGAAGATCGATTGATCTTGTTTCTAGATGATTGCAACAGTTTTTCTTGATTGTTGTTGAATTTTTCTCAGTTCTGTCTTTCTCTGCCCTTCATCCCTTTCTAGTCATCACTAATCAGACCAGTTTATATTAATCAAGTAGCTTGTATTTTGGTTGTTTTTAAGCCCCTTCTGAGTCAAATTTGAACCTGAAGTAATCAGCTATTCTCAACCACTCATGTCTCAATGATTAATTCTTCTTTTTTCTGATTTATTGATTGATTTACTAAAGCCTGATTAATTAGAATTAACAACTCTAAGTATTTGTGGATTATAGCTTGTTTTTCTTGATTAACTCATCTGGCTTGATTAAAAGAGACTGAGAAGCCTTGTCCAGTTTGTTTCTTCCAAGACTCATGTTTCTTCCTCTCAGTGTTTTATTCAATATGCTTTTTCTATTCATTTCTCATAACCACTTGTTCACCACTTGTAATTAGTCTATTTAAAGCTGACTAGATACTTGTGAATAAAAATCATCGGTTCTTACAATCTTTTTCCGTGAACCTTTCCCAAAAACAAGATCCTCAATTTTTGGCCGTCCATCTCCTATGCAACTGAGTCTTAAAATTTCATCAATTGTCAAGAAATTGATTATGAAAGACCAGAGGGGCGTGGTGAGCTGAGATCGAGTGAGATGAGAGAACAGCGAGGCAGAGAAAAGACAAGCACCTGCAGATGGTGCGGGCGGACAAATGAGCAGTGAGATGAGTCGTGCATTGCATGTCAAGGAAAGAAAAAGAAGATGAACAAGAAGGAAAAAGAAAAGAAAGAAAGAAAGCTAGGCAAACCTATGAAAGACCAGAGGGGCGTGATGAGCTGAGATTGAGTGAGAGGAGAGAACAGCAAGGCAGAGAAAAGACAAGCACCTGCAGATGGTGCGGGCGGACAAATGAGCAGTGAGATGAGTGAGGAAAGGAAAAGAAGAAATACAAGCTCAGAACTATGCTAGAGCTATATACAACGTTTGGTGAAACCTAAGTTGGAGATAGACTAAGTTCCGCAGTATTTCCACCTCACCAAACCCCTTGCTGCTGTCCGCATTTGTGCCGGCTTGCTTCATCTTCACATTGATTGATCAAAGTTTTTCTTGACATTTCAATCAATAGTTTCATTTTGATGGATATTTTTTCTTGACAATCAAGAAAAACAATTGATCAGTAGTTTTTCTTGACAATCATTTCAAGCTGTTCTTGACAATGGATCAGTTGTTTTTCATGACAATCATTTGTTAGCTTCTGGTATGTACGTGTATCATCAGCTTGAAGTAAAAGAGAACAAAAAAAACATACAGTATCCTGTCACATTGATACCATTCTTTTATAAATAAAGGGGTAAATAGACATGAAACATTAATGAAGGAATACTCGAGCAAAAGGATTTGTTATATCAGACAGTCAAAAGTCTTCAAGTTGTGAAAATGCTTGGGCGGGCATAGCCTGCAAGACTCTACCATGATACCTAGTCCACATAGCAAGATAGGAATGGTCAGGAGCAAGACAATTGTCAAGGACAGCCTCCTTGTTCTCAGTATACTCCTGGCGAGCCTTCTTGTCCCACAGATTGCCGCCATGCAAGTCCACCAGCACCCTCATCCCGGCCTGATCTTGATTGGTATCTAAGGGCCATCACGGCTCTCAGGGATCAACAGGCAGCCAATCATCAGGATTGTCCCAATCACACATTGAAGAAATAACGGGAACCACCACGACCAGTCCAACTTGATAAACAACGAGAAATAGTCCAGCCATACCAAGGCCGCATAGCCAAATATGTTGCCCGTAAATTCCATGCATGCTAGTTTTCCTCACTTTCAGTGGTGCAAAGATGGTGAAGATCAATCAAATCATCACAAGCCTGAGATTATTTTACAAAAAAAAAAAAAGGGGAAAAAAATGGGACATAGGTGATCTGCGGGTGAGATTTTGGAATCATAAATCTGAACAATTGTACTGAGAGAAGAGAAATCCAATGATAAAGGAAGATCATGGTTTAACTAGGACAGCAAGGTCTGTATAAGAGAGCTAGGATTTGATGGAAGACGGCTTACAATTCAGGTTGCAAACGAGTCGGGTTTGGGTCAAAAATCAGCGCCCGAACCCGACTCAACACTTACATTGGGTCGGTGCGGGTTGGTTTGCATTCTCAAAAAAGTTGCCCAAACCCAACTCTTATAGATAAAAGTTGGGTTTCGGTCGGGTCAGCCTGACATTTTTCCCTGGAGAGGCAAAAAAGGGCAGATCCACTATGTATTTCTTTCTAAAACTCCTCTACTTAATCTTGTATATATCTTTCTGCATCGTGTATGTAGTCTGTACTTATAATAGTAAAATAATGAAAAAGTGAAGAATAAATAATGAATAATAAAATATAAGAGAAATGAAAAATAAATAATGAGCAATAAAAATCTTATTCCACTAGCTCAATATCGTCATCACCTTCCTCCTCTTCATCATCCTTATTGTTGTTGACGTCTTCCTCACTACGGAACCAGTCCTGCCCACACACAAGGGCCTTGAGAGTGTTTGCAGCCATTCGGCTTTGGAAATCACCAAGAACTCGTCCGCTAGTTGAGAAGGCCGATTCCAAAGCAATTGAGGTTGCTGGGATCATGAGCACCATCCTTGCAAGCCTTGGAAGTGTTGAGAATCTGTCCTTTTGGACATCCCACCAGTTGAGGATGTCGAACAATTCCAAGCCCATCCCGACTGGTTTTTCTTGAAGATATAAGTCAAGCTGACCGGTTCCGGTGATTTTATCATTAGCATGCTTGGAGGCAAGTGAAGGAAGTGGTTGAAGTTGTTATTGTTTGTATTGACAGTTTTGTTTTGCTTTTTCAATGTGTTGTCGTTGTTTTTGGCGGGTTTGGCAGGTAGTGTGCGGACAAACTTGGAGTAAAGATTCAACAAGTTTTTTTTATTCGACTTAAGACTTTCCTCAGCAGCTTCAGAGCTGATTTCCTTGAGTAGCATGAATTCGATGATCACCAATTTGCAGCGTGGGTCGAATACTGCAGTGATCTCAGCAAAATCCTCCATTTTCAACCAGTACTTGTTGCACTTTTCCTGCATCAATTTGACAAATCAAATCGGATCCATTCTTCAAGAAAACAATCATTCTCCACACCCTGCAGCGTTCTCATATTCTGGGTTTTCATTGGTCTCGTTGTATTAAAACTTTATTGTATCTTTACTTGGGATGTATCATAGGAATTTTTGGCAATCAAATCAACTAGGGTTCCGATCCGGACCCCGCAGATCCGGCAAGATCTGGAAGACCCGCCAACCGGATCAGGGCTCGGGATCGACCCAGAGAGATCCGGCATCCGGTCGGATGCTGGGAAACCCCCAGAAGTCGGGTATTTCCGGGGATTACCCGCATCAAACCCGTTCGGGGGCCTAGCTGCTGCACCTCTTTTTTTTTTTTTTTTTTTAAGTGCTAATTGATATTCAGTCGTTCCAAAATCAAATGAGAATGACTCTCACCGATTTTGGCAAATCTCTGCTAAGTTAGTGTAGAGTGTGTTTTGAGTTTGCAGATAGGCAACACATAGTTGTACCAATGTTTGATATCGGGGGGAGGGAGGGAGGTGTTCCCTGCACAGGCGCTGCCATCGATTGCTTACCAGATACTCAAACTGGTGAGCCTCAATTCCAATCATGGCATCTGAAGAACTCAGACCCCCCTTGAAAGCTCTCCGACAAGCCAAAGTTCAGTACATGGCAACAACCACAACGAGGACATCACCACCGACGAGGGTCCAGAGGTCGAAGTCCCGGTCTCTTTCAATCTTTTATCACCAGGGTCAAGAGGTCGAAGTCCCGGTCTCTTGCAATCTTTTGGTCACCAGGCCACCTAGACAAGGATGACGTGGTATGGTCCAGGTCTGGTGTTCTGAAAGGATGTGAATGAGGGCAATCTACGGTAATCACTACACAAGGGCCCCGTAGGCCCCGACTAGAGAATCCACAACTGTGTGTTAAGAGACCGGGACTTCGACCTCTGGACCCTCGTCGGTGGTGATGTCCTCGTTGTGGTTGTTGCCATGTACTGAACTTTGGCTTGTCGGAGAGCTTTCAAGGGGGGTCTGAGTTCTTCAGATGCCATGATTGGAATTGAGGCTCACCAGTTTGAGTATCTGGTAAGCAATCGATGGCAGCGCCTGTGCAGGGAACACCTCCCTCCCTCCCCCCGATATCAAACATTGGTACAACTATGTGTTGCCTATCTGCAAAACTCAAATCATACTCTACACTAACTTGACAGGGATTTTCCAAAATCGGTGAGAGTCATTCTCATTCGATTTTGGACCAACTGTTGACATTGCGCACTACAGTGAAAACTATTGTGAGAATACGTGCAAAGATGTTTTCTCAGCTCCAACTTTCCCGCCCTGAACCCCCTTTTTTCACAGCAGAATAGCAAAAAAAGCATAGAAAAAATTATCCTAGAGATCCGGAGAAACCCGGCTAGGTGCCGGGTATCCGCGGGGTCAGGGTTCGGGATGCACAGAATCCGGCTCCGAGGCACCGGGTCGGAACCCTAAAATCAACATAGAACCAGAAACCATCAAACTGGCTCCGATTTCTCGGATGACTCAGTTGGAGGATTTGGCGTACCCAGGAGCACACTTCAAGTGCTCGTCACAAGTGTTGAGGTAGCCTCTCAAAAACACGTGTCAGATCGCGCCGTGTGCACATCTGCCAGAGACAAAATATGCCAACAATTGCACCAGGAGGTGGAATGGCACGACTCCCGAGCCCGAAAAATCCAAAGCCCAAAAGCTCAGGATTTTCTGCACGTCCGGCGATCGGGAAGAACATCAGTCCAGCATTCTTGAGTGGCAAACTTAAAAACCCCTCGCGAACCTGCAAGGTTTTTTTTTGTTTTGAAATGGCTAAACTGATGATGGATCATGAGTATTATTGCCCTGATGATCCCGCAACTTTGGAAGCCGATAAACCATCCATTTGGTCTTTTCAGACTGATCAGTTTACGCTTTTACTCTTCGTATGTACAGATGTCTCAGATGGCTGGCCCTCTGGCACTGCAGATTTGAATTTTGCGCCCAAAAAAATGGAAGCTGTTCAATGATACCGGTATATAAAGAAACCCCTTGGACTGAAAACTTCTGCCCTCAGGTTGTCTTCGAATTTAAAATTCCAACTCACGATTTTACCCACTCGTTCGAGAGTCCGACATGCCAGCATCAACGGCCCAACAGCTCGTGGCTCTGATTGGCCAAGCAGTCCAAGAGATCGAAGCGGATATCGGGACCCAGATCCCAGGGGGGACGATCAGCAACCTCAACCTGCCAATAGTTGCTCGAGAAGACGGATTGGAGGCGAGTGGGAGACGGAGGGAAGGATTGAAAACCTTGCAGGCGGCCACGCACCAATTGCTATCGACTCTGATGCCATCAGACTTGTACATATTCGACACCTATGCATCTTTTTTCCAGAAGACGGCCATCGATACTGTGGTCGGTGCTGGGATCCCAGACTTGATCCACTCGCTCGACCCCGACGCCAGTCAGGGTGGCGTCCATGTCCAAGTGCTCGCCCAGAAGACTCAGATGGACTCCCGCAAGCTGTCCCACATCCTCCGATTCCTTGCCCTGCGTAACATCTTCTGCGAATTAACTGAAAACCATTGGGCCAATAATCGACATTCTTTCCCGCTACGCACCGATTCATCTAATAGTGTTTTGAATGCTCTGGGTCACATGAGAGAGGAAATCGCACTGCCCGCCTTGGTCCAACTTCCTCAGCTTTTGTTGGACAAGCAAGCTGACGGCGCTCTCAGCATGGATCCTCAGCATAGTGCCTTCCAAAAGTATTACAAGCCCGGGTGTAATTTCTTCGAATTCTTGGCCAAGTCGGATGGTGGTTATCGAGCAGAAAGGTTCGGAAAAGCAATGGTGGGTACTATGTCCCCTCCCTTTTTAAGATCCTCCGAACACTAACTGCACAATGTATACTTGTTTTTTGGCGACGACTCCGCGAGTAATACAGTTTGAAATGACTCAAGCCATTGGCACCGGGGAAGCAGTTTATCAAGCCTTTGATTGGCAGAAGCTTGGTCCTAGCGGTACCTTGATTGATGTTGGTGGCGGGGTTGGCGCGGCTGCGTATGCTCTTTCTACTTACCTTCCCGGGTGGAAAGTGGTAGTGCAGGATCGGGCGGAGGTGGTCAAAGATGGACAAGAAGCAAGTTGTAACCAGCTGTTTTAGTTTTCCTAGCTCTGAGCGGTCCTCTCTATAAGTCGAAGCAAAAGCTAACACTATCCAAAACTGCCGGATGCGGAACCTTGGGATAGAATTACCAAAAGATCGGCTCGTCGACCAACCTGGAATTCGAGGAAGCCGACTTCTTCGAGGATCAACCGGCGCGTCGTTGCCGGGGAGCAGATGCTTACTTCCTTCGACACGTTCTACACGATTGGCCGTGAGTTAAAGCGCAGAATTTCTTACAGTGCAGAAGGGCCCTCCAGTGCAACCTCCCAATGTGTATGGCGCTGAATCTGGGACATCTATTCACATGGCCATGGATCCAGCTTCACGCCCTGCGTCCAGATCCTGAGCCGCTTGCGAAAAGCGGCCAAGCCGACCACATCATTATTAATTTGCGAGACTGTTCTGAACCCGCCGCTCACCGATCCCAATTCCCTAATCCTCTTCAACGGCGGAATGGCTTCAGTCTCATCTTACACTCGCAATCTTTCCATGATGACTCTTGTCAATGCAGAAGAGCGCACTCAAGAACAGTTCGTCGAAATCCTCAACAAGAGTGGCTGGAAGTTGCAGTCGGTTACACCCTTAGCCACCCTTGCGGATTACTTCATGATTGAAGGCATTCCTGACCCCTCGTGGAAGCAGGAAGATTAATTATCCTATCTATGTCATTGTACATAACTTACGAAATTTCTCTTGTGAAGCCTCTTGAGGACTGTTTTATAAATCTCAGGTTTCTGGTTGCCCAATATATCTATTGGCCACATCTTATCCTCTAAACTCTCCTCACATCAATGGCCACTTTTCTCCAATACATACATGTATCTGTTTAAGCACATAAACATGCACAGCCTTGAACCAATTGACTATCTTATATCCCATATATCTATATATATTTATATATATGTAACTAACAAGATACCACAAACAACCAAACAAATGATCAAACCAAACAAAAAGAAAATCTGTTGTTGATGTGTTTTTTAAGAGAAAAAAGAAAAGAGAATAAGATAGTGATTGATGTGTATCTTCCCAAAGGATAAAAAAATATAATAAAGAAAATAAAAAGTCTGTTTCTTTCTGGAATGTTTTAGTAAATGTATATTATGATATCTGTGTTTCTTTTTTGTTGAATAATTAACCAAGTTTTTAACTATTTTTCACTGTTTCATTTTGTTTTTTGAGCAAAGAAGAAGAATGAGTAATAACACTAAGTAAGAAAAGATTATCCAACAGCAGCAGGAATCAACAAAGTAGGGTCGGTACTATTACCCCCATTATTACCATTACCATGATTCTCGTTATCATTATTGTTATTATTACCATGACTACTCTTGTTATTCTGAGAATGATTACTAGTAGTTGAGCTTTGTAGATGCGGATCGAGACGAGCATCGGCTGCATCGACGGTCAAGGATGGCTCGGCTGGTACGATCATGAGTCTGTCGTGGTCAACAGTTTGAGGGAGATTAGCAGGGGCTAACTGCCGGTTATCAGACAGGGGGGGAGGCAAGATAGGGATGGAGTCTGGGAGACCAGGGTCCCCGGCAGGGAGGAGCGACACCGGTGTGCCGTCGGTCATGCCCGGCGGTAAACTCGCGCTCGATGTTGAACTCGATGGGAACGGCGTCGATCCCGGTGCCGTTACCACACTTGTCACTCCCATTAGCATCGATTGGTTCATTTCTGCTATCGGTGGTGGGGGTGGTAATTGCTGTTTGGGCGAATTCGGATTGGTGTCGCTCAAGATCTCTAAGAGACTCGTCACTCGACCTTTGTTGTTTCCTGCCTCTGATGATCAATAAAACCAAAACCAAACGATAAGTAAATCTCACACATAAGAAACATATGATTCACTCAAACTGGATGGGTGGATGATGGATGTCACGAACTTTTATTGACATAGTCTCTAAGGGGGGCCTTAAGACCAGCCTGTTTACCGACCAATTCCTTCAACTGATCTCTCGGTAACTGAAGGATCGCCCCGAAACTGTGAGGGGAGATGATTTTGGCACATCTCATGAAGCCTTCCCATAACTGGGGCTGAGTCCAGATCTTCTTCAAAATCAACCGTGATAAAAGAGTCGTTGAGACGAAGGCTTGCAAGGATTTATAGGTTTGAACGGCTTGGATTACCTATTTTATTATCACTCCATCATCATCAGTTTTGTCTTTTTAAAACATTCCTAGAGATCCTTGCTAACTCACCGTTCTCAAGAAGAGCGTGGGAAGCGTCAATTCGTCAACAACTTGTTGCATGAAAGCGGCGAGGACCTCGGGTTTGAAGACCTCAGTCATTGAGAAACAGAGGCCGATAGCTTCGATAGCCTGTTTGATAGAATACTGTGCATCCTCGGTCCTATGAATGAGTACCAAGAGCTCGACGGGTGTCAAGAGTTCGGACTGTTTGACCCTTGGGGCGTTGGTCGAGACGGAGCCGAAGTTGGTCGGGGGTTGTTGGATGATCAGGTCGAAGACCGATCGGACGAGATTCTTCTCGTCCGGCTTGCCGTTCAACAGGGTCAGGATCCGCGGCAAATGGTGGATAATCTCGCTCTTCGTCAGTTCGCCGATCATCGGGATGATGAACTTAGGCGATAGATCGCTGGACTTCGAGGCGAGGTTCTTGATGGCTTCGATGATCCCTGCCGGTGGCTTTCCCTTCTCAGTCAGGATCGAAAGGATCTTCAAGACTAGCGACTCTGATCCGGTTTGACAGTTTTGGATTAGCGAGATAATCTTGGGGTGTTTACCTCCCAAAGTTCGCACAAGTGGTGTGATCAGCTCGTTGACAGATTCTTGAACTTGGCTAGGCATTAGTGGATATGATCGGAATAAACTGATGAGGGGTTTTTTCAAGAATGACAAAGAAACAAGAAAGCATGAATAGCCAAGCAACAAAAATTAATTTGGAACAAAAGATATGTTGCATAGCATCAGGAGAAGGAGACAGAGGAAACAAAAACTCAACTGATCAAGTAAGTCGGGATTCTTTGCGGAAAGTGCAAGTAGTAGTTCCAGATGTTGGACGACGACATCTTCAGTCTTGATTTTACTGAGGCCAGAGAGGATCACAGCGTTTTGAACTGTAGCAAACGAGATCGGAGGTTCTGGAGTTGATTCTAGGGCGGCTTCCAATTCAGTTGTCTCGCCGTCCTCCATCTCGGCTTCCGTCTGCCGACCATGGACTTCGTTCTTGATGGCTCTGAGCTCACCCTGAGCTGCCAAGTTTTTGTTTGCATTCTCTTCGGCATCCACATCATCCTCGCCTTTCTCCAACTTTTGTAAGAGTTGCACTGCAAAGCTAACGACTCGCTCGCCCAGATGATTCATCTGATTATTTGATGAAACCCAACTCTTGACAGACATGATCGCGGCCGTCCTTGTTTGTCTACGGGAATGTGTAGATAGACCAAGCAAGACGTCCAGAGTCCGATTTCGGAGCGTGGGTCGCATGGTCGTCAGATCTCTTAATGTTGTGAACCCCACAGTCAGTTTATTGGGATCTTGACACATCTGCTGCAATCGTACTAGCTCCCTCTCCGACAAATATGGGAGATCCAGTAAGAACCCTGAGAGCACAGGTCTTGTAGAATCGGATTGGGCCGGGTTCAAGGGGGGGATGTTGTTGACGATGTAATCCAAGGTCATTGTTAGCCACCGTTCGTAGGGGGTCGAATTGATTAAGTCAGTGGGTTGGCCAAATTGATTAGGGTCAGTTGGCTTAGCCAACCACTCTTCCATCAACCATGCTCTGGCGAATTGCATCCTGTTTTTTGAGACAAAAAAGGGGGCACGATTATCAGCTTTTTTGTTCTTGCTAGTTAGAAATCAAGATCAAACTAGATTCATAGCTTGACTTACCGATTTGAGAAATCAGCAATGACAAACTGAAATAAAGATTGCCTTATGTCCTCCTTTCGCATTTCGATTTCATCGACAGTACCACCCCCACTGTCGTTCATACCTCTGGTAACCAATCTTGATAATAGCATGCTCCAGACACCACTTTGAACTTTCGATCCCTCAGCTGTCAGCCCATTAGAGACGATCCGATCCAGAGTCATTCTGATCATTAACCTCCGACTGAGTTCGCTAAGTTCGGTGGGTGAATCGGTTTGCCAAGCGTCTGGAAAGATCAACCTGTTACCGCCCTCTGTCTCACCTTCTTCGAGATCCGGATTCGGCTGTAAAACCAATTCCTCTTCGTCGATGCCTACATCATCCTCTAGAGTTTCTTCTGACTTGTTCAAGCTTGATGATTCATTCAATTGTTGTATGGAGGTTTCCATATCCATTTTTGAGGGTGAGTCAATTTCCATCTTCGGTCGAACGGGTGAGCCGGGTGTAACGAAATTAGGGTGATCGAGGGGTTGTGCCATATCCGTTGGATGTAGCGGTTGGGCGTGATTCGATAGAGTATGGGCAAGAGGTTGGGATTCGTTGAGCACATTGGTTCGTTCTCCAGACATGCTAGAGAGATACATCTTTTTTTTTTTAAAAAAAAAAATAGAAATCCATCAGTTCACCTCTCACTTCATATTAGACATACAAGAAAGACATTACATTGATGGCATTATTCAGTGCTTGATCGCTCAAGACTTGCAAGTTTGCAATCACTAGCTCAGCCACAAGTTCGACCGGTAAGCTGGTCACATCAAAGCCGGGTAGTTGGTTGGTTGATATCATTGTTGGATGTATCATCTGAGCAGGAGGAGGGATGATTTCTTGAACTTCAGGACGATGATCGACCCGAGCACGTTTCTTAGCACCCATTTCATCTTCCTTCCTCTGACGTTTCCTTTCGCGTTCTTTCTCGTTCAACTCCTCAAGTCGTTTAGTTTGATTGACCAGTGCTTCCCTGATCTGTTGAGTATAAGGTGAGGCGGATGAGGTGCGATCGAGATGGGAGAGGGTGATCCGCAAGGTCTTTTCGATTCCTTTTAATTGTAATACGCTAATAGTTCGAGAGACGAGGGGTGAGGTGGATGGATTGTAGGATGCTAATGCGGCCATGATGATAGGTGATAGACTAGGTCGAAGTCGAACCAGTGAGCCCAATGAGATCACGATGGCCGCCACGAGTTCAGGTATCCTAAAGATAGATGGGGAGATAGGGAGTTGATGTCAATAATTATCTATAAGAAAAAGAAGGAGGATGGATGAGAATACTTTGATTGAAACATGATCCGGGTAGATTCCTCGAGTAAGTTATTGGCTTCCTGTTCCAGCTCTTTAGGTTTCAAGTATGGATGCTGCTGAGCGCTGCTACTACTTCCGCACATGACGATACTAGGGTCTTCGTTCCGTTTGCGCGGGTCGAGTAGACCGCGTGTGCCGACTTGGATGACCCGTTGTACGAACTTGTTAGCGGCGAGTCTGATGCCTAATGAGCTATTCTCGTTCCTCCATAGGTTGAGGATGGTGCCTTTGATCTGATTGGATAGACCCCATTGTTTTGAGTCATTGGTTGTGGTAGATTTGGTACAGGTGTGCTTGAATAGGATCGGGTATGCTGATGAGAATGCTTGGATGGCTAGTTTCTTAGTTTGGAGTAGTTGATGGTCGGAAGGGTCTTGCAGGGTGATTAGCCGGTGGATGGTTTCAGTTGATTGGAGTACCACTGAGCGGAAAAACAGAGTGGTCAGTCAGCAATTAACGAAAAATGTTTTTTTTTTTTAGAAAACATACTCTGTAGTCTTTGATCGGCTGTGAGGCTTGATTTGGAGATGGCCAGTTGGATGATAGATGAGATCCAGGTTCGATAGTATAGTTGTTGGTTCGAGTTGGTTGCGATGAGTGAGAGGAGTGATGGATATAGTATTGGTAGGAATGCTGGGTTGAGCTCGAGTAGGTCTTTGAGTCTGTTGAGGGTTGAGCGTTGGCTGATCGAGCCCGGCTGTGCTGAGATTGCTGATGAGAAGAGTTGGAGACAGTCATTGGGTGTTGCTGATGGTTGGTTGTTGGCCATCTTGATGGTGTTCGTGGTTGGTTGGTTTTGGGTTTTTCGTTCTTGTTGACCATCTGGATCATCGGGGGGAGACAAAAACACTGTCACAACACTGTCACTCACCACTGTCACCAACTCAGCCCGATCATCACATTAAAACACCCAGACATGATTCAAGGCTCATTTACACAGAAACACCAGCTCTGTCCTTCACAACATCATCCAGGCAATCTCATTGATGCATACAAACCATACTTGACTCTTGAATGAGCCTTCTGCTAGAGGGACTTATGACTAATCAGGATTTCTGGCATGAGAGTTTTTTTCAGTTTTGGTGGTGTTCAACTTTTGAACCTCGAGAATGCAGATAATACCCAACTTTCAAATTTTTCAGTGTGGTCTACTTCTTTAATTTCTCCTGATATAATTTGAAGCCAAAGTAATCATGTCTTCATGTTCTTTGGATTTTTCTAATAGTTTGGTTTTCTTGATTTTCTTGATAATGTGACTGGATAACAAGACAATTGTCTGTGCGCACTCACCAGAACAACTGAAATCCATTAATCATTTGTTTTCTACAGTTTTTTTTTTAAATTTACAGTTAAGGATGTGATCTAGGATAAATTAATCTTGGGGGTAGGGCTTGAAAGTTTCACAAGTTAGGCTTGAGGATTATATCAAGAAGAGGGCTCAAATATCTGGAAGTCCCATGCCATAAATCCTGAGACATCATAATCCTGATAATTCATAAGTCCCTCCAGCAGAAGCCTCAGGCAAGGAGGGACTGGGTGAAGTAACAAGTTTGCATATCACCATCAGTACACAGGAATATTTCTCTTGATGGTATAAGCCTATAACAAGGAGCAAAGGTTTTGAAGGGTGACCTTGGGTAGCATATAGTACCAGTACCAACCACCAAGGAGGGATCATTCCATTTTTGAATTCTACTCTAGTTACTGGCCAATATTCACTCATTCATTTTTATTGTAGGTTGGCTCAATCTTTCACATTTTGTGCTCAAGAACTGTCTATACCTACACCAGAGCCCTGAGCAGTGTGGGCTGGGGCCAGGCCAACCTCCAGCCCACTTTTCCCTGCATGTCTTGCTGCAGTAAATTGGAAGTGAGATGTTGATAAGAAATTCATTTTTGCATGAATTTTGATTGTGAACAATCCCCTTACCTGAGCTGGGCTTGCAATCTACTCCTGTGGTGAACGGCATAGATCTGGAGCATGGTGAGGAACACAATCCATGCCTGCACTTCACCTTACCATGCACCACCCACTGGCATACATAGTGGATTGGATTCTTCCGAAAGCATTGTAAATTTTGTCTGGTCAGACTCTTTTGATTGCTGCTACAGCACACTGGAGGCCACTAGATCAGAACACAATATTCACCTGAGTTGTAAAATGAGGTAAGAAGACAATTTATCATCACATTCAAGGCTCAAGCACTGATCCTATGTCCTCCCTTTCCATTACTAGAAGGGCCCATTAGGGTCAACCTAGGATTATTTTAGGGATCATTTCATCTCAATTTGGAAGGGAGAGTATATAGACCTCTGCAATTGTGCGACTCAAACAGGATTGAAAAGGAGGGCAGGAAGAAAGGAAGAAGACAGTGAAACATGATTTGATATATAAACAAAAGTAAGGGGAGAGATACAGTACTTGTTAAGCCCATCTTTCCAAGACAATAGGTGAGACCATGAACAAAGATCATCCACTTATAATCAATCTTCCCAATGTAATCACTATCAAGAAACATTGGCAACTAGTTCCAGTTTGTATTGGACAATTACATATTGATACATTGATACAGGTGGGCGGCTGATCATCAGAATCAGGGCAAATTGATTGGAGGGTATTTCTACCATATAATGATGATGGTGGTGTGCAACAAATAAGTTAGACATTGTGATACACCAAGGTAGAAAATGAAACATCAAATTAGAGCAAAAGTTTGCAATAGAGTTGATTGGATTAAGATGGCTGACCTTGTTTATAGAGAACAAAAACCAGGAGTCATAAATAAGGAAATGATACACATCGATAAAACGAGGAGAGACAGATCAGACGAATCTATGTCTGACTGCATCCAACAGAAACGTGCGAGAATCGAATCGAGTGGAATTTTCCAGGGAAATGTCAGGCTAAGATCTAGAAATGTTTTGGGGATTAGACATGTCGTAAGCATCGGCTCAGTGAAAGCAGAGGTAATCAGGGACGTGAGTAAGAGGCTCACAGCAATTAAGATTATGGACAGGACAATCACAAAAATGATTAATAAACACAACATCTTTTTACCGGATTTCTTCTGATATTCGTGGGCCTGATGGAGTTCAGCGACGGCACCGCTCATGTCGTTATTGATTCGATGAACGTTGCTCTCGATGTTATCTTTTGTGTGATTTCCCCCAATTGATTTTAGACGAAAAACAACAGAAGGCGGGTTAGAGGATTGTGGAGCTTTGCGAGTGAGTTGAAACAACATGGAGCTTTGAAACGGCTTCAAACCTACCGATATTCCCCCCTTGTTCTTGGACTATTGTTCCTAAATCCCTGAATATCTGATTTAATTCATTGATTCCCACTTCGATTTCTCTGATTTCATTCTCTCTCTCCTCGATTAATGCTTCTTGATAGTCTAGCTCATAATCAGGTATGACTTCCTCCTCATCTTGCTGTCGTTGGGCCGGTTTTTGAAGCTGCTGCTGAAGTTGAAGTTGTTGCTGTTGTTGAAATTGAGGTCTTGTTTCTGATAGTTCGTGACTTTCCGGTTCAATATCTTGACTCGCGATCCTCCCGTGTTTCCTGTTTTGGTTTGATGAGGAAATCAGGCAAACTGGTTAGACAGAATGTGGTTTTTATTGATTTGCTTGTCGAATTTTCAAAAAAAAAAAAAAAGCAAAAGCCTACGAAGGAGAAGATACCACATTCGATGATTTCACTCGGTCAACAAATTGCTTTTGTCTTTCCACGGATAACCTCGATACTCTTTGAAAAGCCTGAATTGAACTTGCATAATCCCTCGAAACCTTTTGTTGTTCGATTTTCTGAAAAACGCATGTATGAATCATAGGCTTGATATATAAACTCTTGATGTGACAACTTTAAATCTTTTTTCTCGCACAAATTTCACTTACATATGAGTCCGTTACCTGCCAACTAGCTAGCTTTTTTGCATCCGAAGATGAATTCTTGATGAATTCTCTAGTTGATTCTGTCAGGTCATGCCTTAGGAGTATCCCAAATGCAAACAAACATCGTGAGGACCGATTCTATCGAAATGTTAAAAGCATGTACTAGATGAGAGCCGTACAGCTTCTTACGAATGTCGCTTGTATCTCTTGAACTACCCAGTAGATCGATTAGTTTCTGTAAACCTGATACGTTGCTGTTGATTCGGAAGATGTGGGTGGAGACTTTGTTGGCCAAGTTTTGGAATTTCTCGATCGACAAGCGGGTTCTAAATGACCATCAGTTTTGAGAAAGTCTTACGGATGAGTAATTTTCTCCTCTGCTTTTGTTCAAAGACAGCAATCGAGGTTGAAGATATAGACTGACCACCAGGAAGGGGGTCCCTAGCAAGTGGTGCACGTTAGTTGAGTCCCCTTTCAAGATCGTTGAATGACATGGTCGAGGTTCTTTCGAGTTGAAGATATCGTTGCAGATGGTCAAGAGTTCTCAAATTCGATTTGTGGTGGGGTTTAGCTGGGTTTTGTTGCTGGGTCTGGTGGTTGTGCCTGGAAAGTACAATTGGTGGCACGGGGTGGCCGATGAGTATGACCGCCCCCCCCCTGCCCCCCGGCTTCCCCCCTCCCCCGAAGGCCCAAGTGGCACCCTAAACCCGCTTTTTGACGTGATCGTTCAGTGGATGCCCTATTCCAAACAAGGACACTCCTCCAGAGGATTGGCATGGTGTACACCTGCTAGGTTATGGAAACTGATAAGCCAAGTCCCTGTAGTTCGCGGCCTGCCAGGGCCTGCCACATCGCATCACAGTTTTTTTTCCCAATTCAAGTTTCGATGGTGTGGCCAATTAATCATATCGATAATATTCTAAGCTTTTATTATGTAGATCGTTAATTCTCACCTGACATCTCATGATCTTAACAATCCTCAGTGTTCCTATTGTTACGACTGTTACAAGAACTTTGACTCTTTTCGGGTTTCATTTATGCTGACTCTTCTTGTATAACCGAAATTTCTCCATATTTGTGGGTTCGAATTGTTTGTTTTTCTTTCATCGGAATTGTTTCTTCCTCTTTCATCGGAATTGTTTGTTTCTCTTTCATCGGAATTGTTTGTTTCTCTTTCATCGGAATAAAGGTTATACTTAAAGATTGGGTAACAAGTCAGGAGATACATAATGTGATCCTTATCCAAAAAGATGTAGATGATACGAGAGGTGATTTGAGATAGAAAAGATAGGCTTATTCTTGAGAATAAAGAGAAGATATACATGGCTTGGATCTACGCAACACAATGAAAGAGCTTCTAATCGTTTGGTTGGTCTGGGTTTGCATCTCCGACCATTTCTTGTACCTCTTCATCACCAGCCAGCTCGCCGTCGTTGGCGTCATCTATAAACACTTCCTCCTGGAGCTGCTCTTCGATCTCATCGATAGTAGGCTCTAGGTCCTCGACAATCATGTCTGATGCATCCAGATTGGTGCCCAGACTGCTCACCAACTCAAACCACCGGTGTGAGCTACCAGGCAGGCGGGTCTTGCCCCATAGCCAATCGACATCCGGAGCCCACAAGCGCATCAGCTTTACATGATCTGCCAACTGGAGGTACAGCTCGAACATCAGCACTTGCTGCCCGGTTTGTGCACTTAAAGTCCCCACACGAGCTGGGATCACTACTTCAGTGGTGTTTGGGGAAAGATCCTCTGGAATAGAAATGAGGAACGATTCAGTTGAAGTGACAAAAAACACAAAAGAGAAGAGAAGAACTCACTTATTTGGCCTGCAAGCTGGTCAAGCATGTTGTGCAACTCAACTGCCCATGTCATTGCTCGGCCGAGTTCTTGTGCAATGAGGTCAAGTTCTTCCTCTGCTCGATCCACCATGAGAAACGACCTGATCCCTTCGCGTACATCCAACGACACAGCCCAAGGCGCCTGCGAGTGATAGAAATGTGCCTCGTTCCAGAAGATATCGTCAAGCTTCTTACTTGCAAACAAGTCCCATGACAAAGCTTTGTATTCGGGATCGTTCAATGCTTCTTGGTCGTACTTCTCTAAATATGCTTCGTTGACCTTGTTAAATTGGTTGATTAATCTTAAAACGGCTCCCTTTCGGCCATTGATTGATTCATATATCTTCTCTTTTAATGTTGTGCCAACATTTCTTGCTCGGGTTCGTGACTCTGAGATGGGCTGACGGACACCCATAATCTCAACTGCCTTTGTGTACAGCTCTCGTTTTTTACTCCAAACAAGGAGTTTCATCTTCTCCTTTTCGACTGAAGAAAAAACAGGGAGCCTGTCAATTGACGAATTGCAATGATGAAGTGAACATGAAAACTCTTACAATCAGTACCAGCGCCAGTATACATAAACCCCAACTGCGCGGCCAGTTCCACCTGAGATGCTTCTGCTTGTTCAATTTCTTCTACAGATCGCTCCAAGATCTCAGCACGATTATCCCATTTTCCTTTGGCAACCATGTCACTGGAAATCACTTCCAGGGTCAGTGAGATTGCTGCTGGCGTGTTGATTTGTGTTTGACTTACCGGAGTTTCTTCAATGACTTCTCCATTTTTATGAGCTTTGTGAGCTTATTCCGCTGCTCAGTGTCCTCGTCGGATACTTGCTTCAGGTGATTGACCTGATTTTCCCATTGACTTATGAAGAATTGTTTGGTGTAGTTGGTGCGGCCACCATTAGAAAACGGGTTCGATAGAAGTAACAAGCGTTTGAGTTTTTCTTTTGCTTCTCTCCTTGCCAGTTGTGCCGCACCGAATTTCTTTCGCAGCCACAGCACTTGAGAATCGAAACAAAAAAGTCAACAGACGTGTCTCCAGTAAATAATCTGTGTTTAAGCATACTTAATGTAGATTTTCCCTCTGTGTTGTGAAACTGACACTGGTGGGATAGGGCGGCCAAGCGATGGTTGCGGGATGAGTAGCGCAATGTTCTTACCAGAGGGGATAGAGATGACCAGAGCCGTTCTAGCCCTTCCCCATCCGATAATCCCCAGCCAACATTGAACCGTGGGTTGTAAGCAACTTGGCACTTCCATTCATGTACATAAGCATGAAAAACAGAGGTCCCAAATTTGATTAGTTCCTTTTTTTCTGGAAATGCAAAGAAGTCCCGCTGAGTATTAAAAATGTATGTTTATTAGCTTTTATGTGATAACAAGCATTAATGTAATGAGTGATTGTCAAACTTGCAATGTTGAGGAATTTGTGCAATGAACAACCAATATCATAAAGGACCCCCAGGGGTCTCCCGTCAACTTCTTCCAACAGCTGCTTCAGGATGGCCACAGGGAGGGATCTCTGTTCACCCGTACGGTGGATATTTGCCAGGTAGACTACCTGGTCATGTCGGCAACAACACCCCATCAGACCAGTATCATCACATCCTTTCCAAGTTGATTCACTCCGTTTGTCATTCGCGGCTTTGTGTGAATCAGAACAAGGATCCGACTGGTCCAGAATTATATGATTAATTGTAGCCAAAATGTATGCTGAAAATAAAATAGCTGCTTACCACTTCGGGCCTCCCAAGATTCTCTATCTCAGACCGCATGTTCTCCACTGCTTCAGGTTTCAAGAAGATTGGGGGGTTGACTAATTGGACCCCTTTCACACCAGCGTTTGCATGTCGTCTGTGTTGAAAATTCCCATCCAAGCACACGATGAGTGAATCTTTCACTGATGGTTGAGGAATATGAGAGTCATTCAAAATACTTGTTCCAAAGCACCCAGGACAACACGATTTTGCAAGCCTCTGGGTTTTGGTTAGCTGAAGAGAGGTGTTGACCAGTTCGGTTGTCTTCTGCAACATCAGACGGAATATGTCCACTGCCGCAGAAAAACACTTTCTTATATCTCGTCGCTAATATCGGTAGGACAAGATATAATAATTGTCAGTAACTTGCTAATGAATTATGTGGATGGTGATCTGACCTTGGTGTGGTTTTCATTCCATAACTTTGTTGACCGTACTTCAACCCATCGTGCTACAACCTCAGTGAAGGGTTGGGTTGCCACGTGACACCACTGCCATGCTAAGTCGTGAAACTGGAGAAGCCGAACAGATATTGCAGTCCGTGGCCGGATAGGTGAGCTGCCTATGTATCCCAGGGTGAGTAATCGGACTGCATCGGGTAGACAATTGCAAAACTTTTGTCTTATTCGTTTCTGTGCTGAATTTACCCACGTATTGTTCTGATTAGGCAAATTAAATTTAAATTGCAGTGGGATGGGTTCTACATACACATCAAATCCACAAAATCTACTGTACGGTATTTAAATTGGGTACAATTGCAGAATTGCCCTTCAAACGAGTCAAAAGAGTTGCTCGCCGTCCAATTTGCTGTCTTGAACTTGAGCCACATATAAACCCCGTGGAGTTGTGGTATGATACGATCCCAGTTCCTTCTCAGAGCTTGAATTTTATGTTGGGAGTTGAAATCAAAAATTCTTTGTGATAGAGATGTAACAGGTCGAGGTGTTTCTTCTAGGGTTTCCCAATCGGCAGAGTCTTCTTCAGCAAAGTTATCCCACAAATGCGAGCTGGTCAGCTGGTTAGATCCTTCAATTCCTTGTCTTTCTTCTTCCTGTCCTGAGTCTTGTTGAGATTGAAGGTGGGCTTCCAACGCACGAGACGATGAAGGCATAGGTAGTTCACCTCGATGTAACGCTTCGATTCGTTGGTAAGATCTCTCCAGTCGAGCTTCGTTTTTTTCCCGAAGAGCACGTTGACCTGGAGTTTCATGACGATAAGGGTTGACACGGCTAGTTCTTTTGGGTTTTGATTCATCAAGTCTTGGCCTAGTTGAATTTCTTGTAAGGTTTAGTTTTGGTTGAGTTGATTGTGATCTTGGGCGAGTCAACTGAGATGGTTTTGCTTGAGTGGATTTTGGTGGCATGACGATTTGCTTTGCGAGTGGCAGTTCTGAAGCAAGGAGATGCAATTTGAAAAAGCAGAAGAGGATAGAAATGAGCTGAGTATTTGTAAGAGGAGATCTGGGGTTGGCAAAGACAAGTAATTCGGTTGGATGGATACATAGTGATTAGTGAAGAGACTTGCTAGGGCCCACAGCCTTCCGGGCCTTGAGGCCCTCTACCTCCACAGACATGCAGGGATCAGAGGTGCCCGCCCATGCTAAAATATTGAAGCAGCAAGATTGATGATAAATTTATTACACGGCACTACTGCACAAAAACTTGACAGAAACTAGAGTGACCCTTCATCATAAATAAATTCAATTACAAAGAGTATCTCATGTATGGTCAAGCAGTCACTAATGCATGTAGATTTGGGAACTGATTTAGTTGATAACATTCTTGTAACAAGGTGTGAGCTCTTAATAATTTCTCATCAATGTTTCATGTATAGCAGTAGTTCATGTACAGCTGAAAATTTTTTGAACTAGCAGGGATTAGGCCAAATACACAGCTTAATTAACATGACCCTATGTTACTCTGGAGTGATGCAACCTAATTGAATGATTGAAAAGCATGGATTATCAACTTAGTCACATTATAAACCAATCATACACTCTTTGGAATCATCCAATTAGCTTGAATCACTCCTGAGTAACACAGGGCCATTGTGAAAATGCACAATGTAATTAATATGGCCATTTGTTACTCAGAAGCAATTGAAAATAATTGAATGATTGAAAAGCATGGATAATTTTTATGTGAGGTTCATGAATGAATAATTTGATTCATGTTTTGGAATAACCAATTAGGTTGCATCACTCCTGAGTAAAATATGGACATTGTGAAAATGTACACACATAAAAATTATCCACGCTTTTCAATCATCCAATTATTTTCAATTGCTTCTGAGTAACAAATGGCCATATTGATTATTTTGTATATAATCTTGTTCCTTCAATTCTTGATTCAAAAATTCCCCATTTTTCTTCTTATGAATGGTTAGCCTGTTTGTTATGGATATCTTTAGTAGCATGATAGTACTGACTCAACACATTCATGTAGTCATTAAGCCATGTCTAGCAGCTAATGTTCAATGATCTAGACTCAAAAGATTAGTCTCAAAAATAGTGTTTGTTTTAATTTTAATTTATTATTGTTTCTTATTTAATTACACCCAACCAATAGTTGGTATGGTTGTATATAGATCTAAACCAGCCTAGATAAAAGGAAGAATTAAAAAGCTATCTCTTCATTATAAAAACAAAGCCAAATCTTGAACACCTGCATGAGTTTGAATGGCCTCCAATCACTCACAATCTGTTTTGTCATCACTTCATTGGTTCAATTAATTGACATTTTCAATATAAACCTATGTTACTCAGGAGTGCATAATTGGATGATTCAAAATCATGTATTTCCATTGGCCATAAGACCTATACACATCAGCAACTCTGGAAAAATTCATTCACTAAGAAAATGACCTAAACACCTCAACAAATCTTGACACATTGATGCAGTACTGCTATAAAGTTAGGCAATTTTCCTCCTACACATATCAACAACTAGATTGTGTAACACATGTTATCAGTGCATGTCAGCTTCCTAGTCTTGGCATTTGACAGAAAACCTACACATATCAACACCTCTTCACTACTGCTATAATCTTGTGAATTTTCCTTTGAATGAAAAACTAAATCCCCTGACATTTTGGGGCAGTTTGAGAGTGTAACATGAAAGTTACCTGTGTAAATCAGATCCCTGCTTTTGGAATTTGAAAAAAAAACTGAGCACATAAATAACCCTTGAGAAATTCATTCAATACTGCTATACTCAGGTGTTTTTTTCCTTTAACCATAAAACTAAATCACTTGAATTTTTGGAATTTGGTTGTAATCCTGAGCAATGCAGTAGCATTCTTGGTCGAGGCGGGTCAGTCAATGAGGTAGGGGCTGGAGTCCAGCCTGCATTTCATATCATAGAACTCCAGTTTTGAACCATCTTCCATGCATTTCTGAATGGATTCAAATCAGGTAACACAAAATAAGGAACATCTCCAGTTTTGGCTGAAATTGTTGTTTCCCCAAAACCTCCTTTGAGTAGAGGTTGCTGCAACTGTCTCCATCATCTTCCCAGGATGGGATCATCTTCTCAATTTTAAATCAGCAAGATGTTTATTTTAATTGACCATTGCAGAAAAGAAGAAAATTACAGGGAACCCAACAGCAACAAAGAAAGGAAAAAAACAACAACAGCTGACAAGCCTTGGAATGGTCAGGAGTGGATTTTGTGTGTTCAATCATATAGCGCAGCATCCCCATTGTTGTTATCACTGCTATCGTCTACCTCATCACCAGGATCAGCATCATCATCACCAATGCCAAGGTCAGCTATATCTTCTTCTTCTTCCTCGGAGTCGGAGCTAGAGACCAACTGAGAGCTTCTGTCTTGAGCAGAATGGAAACTTCGATGTTTTCTGGCTTTCTTTTGTGGAGGTTGTGTACCTTCATCGGTGTAGCTGTTATCGGCACCATTCTCTTTGTATTTGAGCGATATCCATCCTTCACCAATAGCTTGGAGGATCCTTTGCGACGGGATTATCAAGAGCTTGTTTACAGGTTGGCACAACTCCTTGATGTGAAAGTCGGCGTCATTTCGCTTGACCTTCAGCTGGATGCTCGCATTATTGAGTTCGCTGACCACGTTAGAGCCTGGCCAGGCTTTGAACTGCTTGCCTCCTGCAGCATCTAAAAGCATGATTGGAACAAACATTACATCCTAACCCACAACAAAGAGGGAGGTGACTGGGACTTACTGAGGAGATCTTTCATTTTGACACCAATGATCTTCTTGTTTTGACGAACCGGCCCTGGTTGTGATGAAAATGATGAGTCAAAAATGGCTGTAGCATCTCAGACAGAACTATCTCTCACCTATACAATACTTCTGAGCCACCTTGGCTGATGTGTTGCCTTGTGGCTCTTCAATTGCGTCCACTGTTCGTTTATTCATTTCCTTAGAGCCTTCGATTGCCACTTGGTTACCTCCGCATAATTCATCGACAACAGCCATTCCTGCCACGTAGGTTTGGAATTTTTTGATTGGATCACCCCCCTTCCGTAGAATGGAAAGGAAATTTCGACCAAGTTCGGTACCACTCTGTATGAATAAATCGCCGGACGAACAGGGCGATGCTACGATCAACATTCCCTGAATTCTATGGGAGGCAGCTAGTTGATTCATCTAGAAGCAATACATGGCAAAATTTAAACGAGAGCTTGATAGATGTTAGCATGGATGGATAAAGTAGGTGGAATGAAAAAAAAGAAAACTTGCTGCATCAATTGTGTCTTTGATCCACCTTCGGGCAAAAGCCAAGCTTTTTTTGTTCGATCCAAGGTTCAGCGCGGTATTAGCAACATGTGCCTGTCTAGCAGTTTGGATTGTGCCATCAACAAGCTCGACTGGTATATCGCTTCGAAGGGTTTTGATGAACTCATAATCTTTGTACTTCATTTTGATTTCGGGGGTGAGGGTGCGCCATTTATTGGCAACTTCCTTGCACCGCTGCTTGACAGGGACACCCTCTGGAAAGGTGTGATTTGTTAGTCTTCCTAGACACAGAGAAAGTTGAAATTTGGATTTAGAGAGAATTCATAATCGGACTTACTTTGGTTGAAAATTTCCCGGGCCTCTGGATCGAACCGGCAAAAATTATTATAATTGGTTGGACCTCGCATGCGGTTGGTTTGGCCAAGGTGTGTATAGAATAAAGAGGCGAAAATTTGATTCTTGATGGCGAGTAGGTAGAGCTGACGTTGGAATTCGTAATACAGTTCATCCACCTCTGCCTTCAAGTATGCCGGGAGTCGTTTTACTTGAGCGTGAAGGGCCTCTTGATCGCGTAGAGCATCGAGTTCCATCTCTGCCATTTCTAGCATCACATCGTCTGGCAGCATGGTGAGTCGCTTGTTGGATTCTTCTTTGTCCCCCGTTGGGTTCGAGGCTTCAGGGTCATCGTCACCGGTGGCCGCGTCATTTTCGTTATGTCCAATATTAGTGCTGGCCTGGGTAACAGGATCAAATGGAAGGTCTTGATTCAACTGAGGGACGCCATTTGCACGACCGTCGTTTGCAGCAAGTGCCGCCGCGATGTCGATGTCGATATTGAGGAAATCGTCTCCAAATCCTGAATGGCTAGATAGGCTTGCAAGCATAGGATCGAGCAAGTCGCTTGGGTTGGTTAAGCCGGGGCGTGTCGATCCTGGGAGGCTGCATGGGTGGTTGCTTGGATTCATGGTGTGATTTGGGCTTGATGGTGGAGGAGGAGACGCGGGTAGTAAAAACACAGGAAAAATGGCAGAGATGCACACGCGCGAGGGAAAAGGGGGACTTGGGAGTGAAAACCAGGGTAGGGTGCTGCGAGGTCAAGAGGTCTGAGAGGTCCGCAAGCTGAATCGGGGGATAGGCCTCTAGCCTAGCTCACGCATGCGCGCGAGCTAGGCTACATGTCTAGTCTTACAACATCCTCAGGTGCCCTAAACCCGCTTTTTGACGTGATCGTTCAGTGGATGCCCTATTCCAAACAAGGACACTCCTCCAGAGGATTGGCATGGTGTACACCTGCTAGGTTATGGAAACTGATAAGCCAAGTCCCTGTAGTTCGCGGCCTGCCAGGGCCTGCCACATCGCATCACAGTTTTTTTTCCCAATTCAAGTTTCGATGGTGTGGCCAATTAATCATATCGTTAATATTCTAAGCTTTTATTATGTAGATCGTTAATTATTATCAGGATATGACCATGAACGTAAGATGTTGAGGGAGAAGGAGAAACCTGTAAAATCATTATGCTGGACCGAGCGTTCAAGTTACCGAGTCGTAATAGCTCTTGGCAAGAGATCGTTTTGGACATTTTGGGCGGTTGATGTTTGAGGCGCCTTGAGCACCTCCCTTGCCGGCTTTGTCGCCGGGGTCCGCCGATCGGCTGCCAGCCTCCCTCATGGAGAGCTTCGCTTTCCGGGAGTCATCCAACGGTTGGCTAGGCTTGGTCTCAACCCACATTCGTACACACATACAGACTTCCTCCTGGCCACCCGGTCGCAAGAGGTTGCAAGCCCGGAATTTTGGGACAAAGGCGACAATGTGTATGAATGGAACAAAAGAGAATACAGCGTTTGCATGCATGACAACGTCCAACGTTATACATGAAGGACCTGGCAGGCTGGCCCCCTACAAATCACTCGATTCGATCCGCTACTCCTCATCGTCCGTCGTTCCATCGACACATATCCACATCAAAAACCACCTGGATTTCTTCAGTTCTCGCTTTCGCCGGTGCTTCAACCCTCAATCCTAAAAATGTTCACTTTGATGCTCAGAGCGTACACCATCACTGCGGTTATTTTTCTTGTTTTCTCTGTCCAACCTTCCGCAGCCGAGGATTGCAATGAGCAGAATGGGTGTGTGCAACATTGCGGGACGACCATGCAGCCATATTCCGATGATCAGACGGGTGAGTTCATATCGGCACTTCTCTTGCCAAAAAAAGCTTCCATAAACTTATTTGCAACTATTCATAGTCTGCCAGAACTACGAGGGGACGTATTTTAAATGCCCTACCGACAAATGCACCTCGGGGGATCCTCCGACTGACCCGAACCACCGTCCTTGTGAGGCACAAATTTCACTCGCAATGTAGCAAAAAAAACAGCATAACACTGATCATGTATCCATGTTTGCATTTTAGTTTCTGAAATGACTTGGGAACGTTGCAGCCGCCTAGGCAACCAGAATGTTAACGCTGCTAAAGGAGTCAAAGTTATTAAAACAGTGTCCTTTCAGGCTTTCAATGAAGCTGGAGTAATTTGTATGTTATTATTGATATCTCATTCTTGATCGGTTGTAATGTATGAAACTTCCAAACAAACTTACCATCTGTTTATAAATTTACAACCTTTTTTGTAGCGATCATCGGAAGTGAACAAGACAATCCAAAACAGCAGGCATACGAATGTCGCTGGGACAATACCTCCAAACACAACAGTCGCAGACCTTGTGAGTTGGCCTTTAAATTCCACTTGGAAAAGATATCCACACTGACACCCCCAATTTTTACAACATTGTACCAGACTGTTCCCATTGTAAAACCATGTTTTAGTGCCGTGAAGGTTGCAGTCATGTTTCCCGATGGAGGTGCTCCCAAAAAGATCTCTCAATATGTCTTATCCCTTGTACGCTAATCATTAGAGGAGCACATCAGGAAAGCATGGTTGCAACTATTAGCATGATTATCATGGCTGACCTGCAAAAATGAAAGGCACTTGTTCTATTTTCCCTTTTCTGTATCCCTCAAGATTAAAGAACCATTTGATAACACAAGCTTATTGGACAATTGATTTCTTCTACTGCTCATTCTCTTGATGATGTATATGCACTTGAATTTTCTATTTTCAAGTGACTTGAGACCATAAGTTCAAATATCTCCCAATTATCTTGCACAGTCAATAAACCTTTGCATACTGTAGTACAGAGTGGCAACTAGGGGTGGGGAAGTGAGTGATCCTTCCACAGGACAGGCTAATGAATCTATTTCTGCAAAGGAAGCATAATTTGAACCACTACTAACAATACTTAGGGCCTGTACCATAGGGATCAATTTTCAAAAATGGGGATTTTTTCCATCCTCTACACAAAGACTGGGAACAATTGGAGAGATCTGGTGTTGAAATTCTTCACTTTCATGCCAAAGACCTAACTTAACTAAGTCCCTCTTTATTCGGAGGGGGGATGCCGTCCCGCAGGGACCCTCCAAAGGAGGGACTTATGCGCTAAGTCACCCTCCTCGCCCATGAGGATTAGGAAAAAGTGGCTTTTTTTGCAAGCTCACTACAAGGCCGCTCACTCACACGTCACCCCACAAGCGGTGTGCCAAAATGAGCGGCAAATGCTGGAGAATCACACAGTGGCCTCCATGATGGAGGGAGGCCACTAGCTGTTTGGGCAGCTGGGCTTTTGTTAATGGCATCAGGAACCTGGGTTTTCAGGCTCATTCTGTATGAACCTCCACATCTTCAAAACAATGGGAGGTGCATAATATACAGTTGCCATATCAGTTGATTATGCCATAAGAACACCTGTGTATCCGTTGTTACAGTGCCCCTGCATGGAAGATTGTGGACAGCCTGGTGAACGCATAACACATAATCTGGATGGGTTGGTTCTCACCTGGCCGCTTGGAAGCTCAACCTTCAGGGATGAAGGGGAGTTGATGAGACGGATGGATGCGCATTGGCGAGGCCATCACAAAAATCGAAAGAAGCACAAAAAACGTCCAGAAACGGGCGGGCTTAGTGGGTTTTAAAATATTTCCCAGCAAAATCCCTAATGCTCATGGGCCACGGGGTGGACATAGCCTGTAAGTCCCTCTGGCAAGCCATCAGATGAAACTGCCGGAGGTACTTAGCTAAGTTAGGCCAAAGACTGGCTTCTAGTTATGGTCAATTTTGATAATATAAAATTTTGAGCAAGATAAATTATGAGAAATTGAATTTTCATGTCCTATGGTACAGGCCCTTAATTTCCTCTGAGGAAAAAATGTCAATCTGGATGGGACTATTTTTTGAACCTTTTTCTGCAAAATGCCTTGGGAGTAAAAATCAAGCTAAAATGAGCTATTCAAGACAAAAGATAAAAATGTCTCAATTGAAATGTTTGAGGCATTTTTATTTTTTGGGCTAAAATGGCTCATTTTAGCCTAATTTCTACTCCTGAGGCATTTTGTCAAAAAGTGCAAGGAAATTGACCCATTTTCCCGGCAAACGGTCACCATTGAGCTTGATATCGGCGGCTAGCTCGGCCAAGATGGCGGTTGCTGAGGTGCTCACTAATCTGGTCGCCGTCGATATCAATTAGAGTCCAAGGTGACTTTGATAACCAAGACTTTTGCTCAATTCGGTCTCCCAGCTTTGTGCATTCAAGTCATTGGGGCGGCCATGAAGAGCCAGTCCATAATTGGAGCTGACCCGCGGACTCTGTGAAATGTGATCGCGGGCCGGGGAACGCGCATCAACTGCCCCCCGGACCGTTAGAGATGCTCTAAGTTCGGGAAGTATAGCCAACTTGGGCTTCCTCCTCCAGTCGGATACATATTTGAGTTTGTAGTTCCAGATGTTTTTCATTAACAAATAGATTAGGTGCAGCATGAAAGCCTCCAAGGAAAATGGTGTTGCCCCAACATGTTTCTCGACTGTTAAGTGGGAATTTGGGAATTTGAAATACGAGTGGGATGCCGATCAACTGCTGCACCCTGGTTGAATCTGGTTTTCTCTCGAGTGCAAGCAGTCTTCCACATCTAATTTTATTAGTCTTCCAATCCCATCGAGCTACATACAGCACAGCAGGATGAAGTTTGATCTGGCGAATGGCCAGCCGCCCAACCTGTCGGCCGAATCAGAACACAGCCACGACCACCACACACACGATCTCGCTCATGACCATGGACGTTGAGTGGCCTGTCCTACCCCCACTCTGATCCAGCTTACGATCTATTTCAATGGAATCAAGCACTGAAACTCCCTGTATGTTATAACCAGACTCTCATGAGCATCTAGACCATCCTGGCAAGTTTCTGGAACGCGACCTTCCCGACTTCACCGGTAGGGACTGGAACGAACGCGCATTTACCGTCGGGATCGGAGGGTGAGAATCATCCTTCGGTCCATTCCAGATTCATATCTACATTTGGGAGGAAATGTTGATGTGCATGTTATCGTTCATCAGACCTGTGGGATCGGGAAAAACCGCTCTGACATTAGCGCTCTGCGAGAAATTAAGAGATAGATATAATCTGGGGTGAGTTGATCGGTAGTCACAAGAGAATTTCATTCGACCTGGGGTACTAAGACACTGTGCACTGCAGAAAGAAAGAAATTGACCGGTTTTTCTGAAACGTTTTTTGACTTCATAGGGTGCTCACCAATGATATCTTCATCCCGGAAGATCGAGACTTCCTTCAATCCCACAACGCACTCCCCAACCCATCGCAGATCGTGGCGATCGAGACCGGCGGATGTCCTCACGCAGCCATCAGAGAAGACGTCTCCGCAAACTTGGCAGCGCTTGAAAAGTTACAGACCGAGTATAAATGCGAGCTCTTGCTCGTCGAAAGTGGAGGTGATAATTTAGCGGGTCAGTCGATCCCTTTCCCTTATTGACTTCCTCCCTCAGCTTGAGATATTCGCCGCTCTGGAGCTCAAAGATATGCTCATCTCCGATCAACCAAATCTTTAGCCAACTATTCTAGGGAACTTGCCGATTATATCATCTACGTCATAGATGTAGCTGGTGGGGATAAGATTCCTAGTTAAGCTCTTCTTCCCCAAATCATCTTCTCTACAAATTCCGAAATATTCTCATGAATTAACAGTATCCATTTCTATCAACCCTTATATGATGACTACAGGAAAGGGAGGTCCCGGAATCAGTCAAAGCGATTTATTAGTGATCAACAAGGCAAGCAGTTCATTTTATCCAGACCAATTCACGAGCTGATCAAGAATTCGGATTTGTATATATTTGACATGATTTTCCACTAATTAATAGATCGACTTGGCCCCACATGTGGGTGCTTCGCTAGAAGTGATGAGACGGGATTCTGACGTGATGAGAGACGGCGGGGCGACGGTGTTTACGGCTGTCAAACATGGGACAGGTGTTGAAGCAGTGGTCTCATTTATCCTGGCTGCTTGGGAATCTAGTGGAGCAAAGAAGCTCTCTATAAGTGTATAATCTCTTCCATCTGGTCATCTATCATCAAAGGTTCTGTTGCTAATCTCCACACCGCAAGATGTCATGTTGCACATTCATTTGTTTTGCATGGCTGCCTTCTTATGTATCTCGCAGTCAAATCAAAATCAGCGGTCATTATTTACTTGTAATATACGTTTTCAAGTTTACTTGATTTTAACTTCCTGGTATTTAAATTCAAGATAATTAATACTCGAACCTTGTCTCAATATTGCTGCAGTCGGGGCTAGGTTAAATTCATTTAACCTAAAAAAACATCAATCATCTTAGAATAATGTGTGCTTGATTCAGATTCCTTGCTATAGAATGTTTAAAAAAATTGTATTTTTTTAGTTCAAAATCATGAAGCCTGGAAACTTATTGATATCATTTTGGCTCCTTTGTAGAAGTCCCCTGACAAATTGTGATGCCAGCTTGATCACTGGGAAGTGAAAATATGAGAACCAGGGGCTGGTTTTGCATTAATCTTTAGGCGTATTTTGGATAAAAAAACAGGGTTGTTTTGTGATCTGAAATGTATCTTATGGGGGGCTCATCAAACAAAAAATGCAGCCCTTTAATCCCAAGCATTTTCTTAGTGTATGTAGTTCTATTTATAATCGAGTGTTGGATTTTCGAAAGGAAAAAAAAATGTATCCCTCATGGCCACAATTAAATCACAGCACAGTAGGACTAACTATTTGGTATTTGGAGATACTAGTGTATGACCACTCAGGGGCGGAGAAGCCATTTTGTTGATATGATTTTATTTGCAAGCGAATTAAACAACTTCCTCCCCAACAGTAGCGTCACATTTTGATGAATATAGAACGTTGGTTGGCCGGGCAGACTGCAAGAATCACCGGATAAGTAATCACATTATTCTTGGAATAACATATATTTAGTTGACTGACTTGGCCACTCTCCGATCCACAGCTAGCTGTCAGAATCTGGGCCCAATTCGTCGTCCGTAGCTTGATCTCCAACAGGGTAATCGGGGTGGCGAGTAGCAGAAGTAGCTATGATCATGAGTACCGAGGAAATAATGAAAAAAACTGCCACGGTCAATCGCATCGTAAATGGTGGAAGCAGTGTTGACAGATTTCCGGTCTTCTGTGTGCGATGTCTGGGGCTGGTATAGATCATTGGCAGGAACAAGTTGAGCTCTCCAGTAGTACCTACAAAGATATAAATCGAGCCTGGTAGACTCGTACTGACTCCGAAACCCTCCAGTGACCAGAGTTTAGAAGGCAGAACGCAGTAAAGCATACAACAAATGGTGAAAGGTCTCCGCGAAGACAAGGCGCACTATTTTCGATGCTTTTTTTGGCCTTCGTCGGACCAGTCTTTGCTAAGACTATGGGCTGAGCCTATCGGCCTCCAGTCTGGGAGCTCACTCTTAGACTGTCGGGCAAGATTGGACGGCATCGAATCACTGGAGGACTTCCCGTCGGTCTGGGATCCTAGATTTAGCCTTCCTAAAGCCAGATTCCAAATCTTGTTTGCTGATGAGAAGTCAATGTCACTTGATTCTCTTCACCAAATTGAGTTTGGGATCTAGGATTAGACCTTCCAAATCAAGGGTTCCAGATCGACGGGAAGTCCTCCACTGCCAGGAGCAGTTGGCGTGTGCAATTCCTCCCCGGCCCATCGCTATTTCATTTGTGCTCAACAGCTATGGAGACAATATATACACCCCTGATAGCTACTCCATGTTGTTCTGGTTTGGCTCCTCTGAACTCATTTCAAAAGGCTCTGCAGCAGCCTGCGGGAGACGGGCATTTGGGATGTCCAATATAGCCGCCCAAAAATACTTTCAAAGCGGAGTGATAAAATATAGATTAGTTCTTGTTGTCTTTCCCCAAGTGCATGAGTATCTTGATTCCATTGGGTCCGTTCGGAGCCAGTTGTCTGGTAACTCTGGCTTAGATGGAACTTGATGGGACGGATGGTTAGAGAGTCGACAGATACACGAAGCTAGCCTCGATGGCGGCTCAACCTGGCTGGAGCCTTCTTCTGCTCGTTAGCGATCACCAGTCAGTCGGGTTGGCAATAGACTCTGTCTGGGTGCACGTCTTCCGACCGCTCGATTATGAGCTATGAGCTATCTGCAAGGTGGCCATTAGCAGTCGGTTTCGAAAGCCCCCAAGCTGGAGCTCTGTGAGGAGCTGAAATCTCAACCAATCTCTCTTATTTAAGACCTGCTCGTTTCTAAAGCAACTTTCTTTTGCCGCATGAAGCTTTTACTCCAGTCCGTCGTTAATCTTGAACTTCTCTGGCGAATCTCATTAATATCTCTTTCAAAGAAACCCTTTTTAATCTAGTCTGTCTTCCCAGCCACCCGTTATCTTTTCCGACCACAACACACGCATACCATACATTCACAAACAAGACAAACTATTACTACGAAACTCAAAAAATCAGATCTGTATTCGCACTATTAGCAATATGAAGAACTTGACTCGCATCGTAGTATTGGCGGTGGCTATGGGCCTCGCGTCGGCCTCCCAATTATCGTCCTCGACCGCACTGACAAGGAGAACGCGTCAATCGTTCAATCTGAGGGAAATCGAAATTCAGCTCGAGCGTCAAGGGTGCCCCGCCCCCTTACGAGCATGCCCGATCCTCCGTAGCGACATATCACTCGACTTGAACGTGGCACTGCCCAAGAGGACGATCAGCAAGCGAAACTGGGAATGCTTCAACTTGCAAACAGACGTCAACTCGTGTGGAAGCTGTGATAATGATGTGCGTTTTCCACCACTCCGACGTAAGGCTAAACCAGGACAGCTTTTTCTGTGCTGACGAACACGGGGTCCTTCCATCAATTTATTGTTTTGCATTTGCTACGAAACGAAAAAACAAAAGTGCATGGAGATCCCCAATGTAGCCCGGGCGAAATGCGACTCAGGTTCATGCAAGATTGGTGAGTTCTACCTTTGTCGCAGCTCAAGTCATATCCACCTTGTTGATAAGAGGTATTCTTCGTCATTAATGTTGTTTTGTCTTTGCCTTAAACAACAGTCTCATGCCGATCAGGGCTCCAACCAAAGGCCACCGTAAACCACGTCACCGGCTCGAAGAGTATGAAATGCGCCTGAAGAAGAAGCAATCAGTGTCATCAGCCCCCCCCCCCCCCACACACACACACATTCACTATGTCATTGATAATTAGCCTGTTCCAAAGCCAGCAAATAACCTCTAACTTGATATGTATTTGATCATCAGTCTCATTAATTTCTCCACTTCATTCCCCATAATTTGTCTTGGTGTGTTTTACATCTCTTGTCTGTCGGTTTCTGACTGCAAACACTCTTACTGCCTCCTAATTTATCCATGTGTTCTGAGAAAAACAAAACAATCATCACTGTTTGCATCTCATGAAGATGTTTGATACAGAAATGATCCCGAGTTATGTCTCAAATCCATCTGGCATGCTTGCTGTTGAATTGGAATTCCTACAAAAAGAAATCAATAATCACATTGGTTATACAACTTCTGTAATTTAGGAAACAAATTTTGTTCTATAGCTTTTGAGCTAACTTGTCTAAGTCTCTCTCATTGGAGGGGGTACACTGTCCTGCCAGGGACCCTCCAAAGTTTGAGGATATCCACAATTAAAGCAAGAAAAATAAATGTCACTGCACTGGCTAGCTTCTTAACCGACTCCAAAAAACAGAGCTCAACTGAGCACGAAACATGAAATGTGCCCTGGAATTAACCAAAAATCATTTCTGTCCAGCTTCACAAGCTTTTGTTTTTGTAGCACAGCCTAGCACAGCAAAACAAGTTGCCAGTCAGCAAGTGCACCGGGGGACTTTCATGAAGTTAGCACAAAACCAGAATTACAACCTCTCATATATTAGATTTCCCTGCAAAGATTGATTTCAGGGGCCGCTCTTCTCTCAGTGTTTATGTGTCTGTCCCCCATTTTTTGCAACGCTCAAAATAAAGAGAGCTCAGGCTTGTTTAGGATCTTGTGCTTTGAATTGCATGTCGGAACTCTTAAGGAAACTAGATTGCCAACAAAACAAGACGTTTTCACCACAAAGAACGAGTGGGAGACAGGAGAAACCAAGGTTTCCTGACAACACCGAAAACATGAATATAGCGTTGAAGGAACTTAAAACAACCCTGGGTTCATCGGAACCGGGCAGCTGGAGAGATTGGTATGTAGTGAACGATTACATTTGTACCAACTGATTCAAGTCATAGAATATCTTGTGGAGCGAACCGATACCGGTGGAGCCAACTCGGGTTGAGTAGCGCAAGCTATGATTGGATTGGGCTACGCCCGATCAAAATCGTAGTATCTTCCCGACCAAGGGGATGATGACCGCAGTCTTTCCTTCCTCAGCCGATGAAGAACGGTTGGTATGTTGGCAACTACGTGGGCTATCCTCTTCGAGGATTACATCGTTGGCAAACAACCCATCCACTCGAAGCACATGAGCGTCGACACAACCCGAATTGATTCGACAGGTATGAGTTTACGCCACAAGATATCTGTGACTTGTGAAAGCCAGAGTCCTACCAAGCTGATCACTGCTCTTCTCGCTCCAATCAATCGAGGACCGTTGGCGAGAACTCAAACACACATCGAGTCGAATGCTTTCCAAACAGCTCAAAAGAAAGGGCCTTGCACATATCCGAGGGGAGAGAGACGGCAATGTGGGAAGTAGTTCTCTTCAGACATCGTACCACGCAGTTTCTGGTAGATAAGAGAACCAATCAAAGAAAGCGAGGGGTCAGTAATGGTTTCCAAAGAGAAGCGCGATCAGACGACAAGGTTGAAAAAAAAGAGAACGATGAAGGAAGGAGCAAATGGGTCCGATGAGAATCAGATATAAAGAAAGGTGGTCATCAATGGGTTAAAAAAAAGGAGAGAGGACTCTAAACTTTTTTTCAAAGACACGCTCTTATGAAAAGAGGGCGCTACCCATATGACTGTTGAGCTTGACAAAGGTTTGATCATCACCTTCTCATCGGGAAGGTCTTATGCTTATGGAGACGGGATTAAAAAAGAAGGATGGTCGTATAGGAAGAAGACTTACCACATGAGGATGAAGCCCGTTCGTTTTCAAGCGGATCGTCGGTTGGAGAACGACCCGTCAAAATAACACCTCATCGTGAGCATTGCGCAGATCGGACACCCCGCCGAAGGCACGGGGAGGCAAATGATGATGTTCAGCCTGGATGGGTGCGGTTCCAAGCTTATGAAGGCTCCATGAAATTGGGTCAATTTGTGGGTCTGGACAATCTTCGTTGCTGCGTACGCTCCGGATTGGATTGCCGGCCGAGCCCCCGGCTTGCACCCTCACGGGGCCTCACCCGATGAAGGGTGCCGGCCACCCAGAAGGCGCATACAGTGATACACTGCACTGATGGCGGACACCGGTGATCAAGAGAGAAGCCCCTCTCTATCGGCAGCCGGCACCAGCCATCACGAGAGCCTCATACACTCTAGTCTTGAAGGCCCATATCGGCCTCACTCGATTTCCCGTCAGCGGTCATTGAACTTGGAGATGGCCAATGATCATGACCTCTGGGGTGACGGAATCGCAGCTCTCGCCGATCGGGATGATCTTCATGGCGCCGGAATTGCAGCTGGAATCTCCCTGGCCTGCTTTGGGGGACTTTCGGTGATGCTGCCTCTTGAATCCAAGCTTGGATAAAAATTTGAAATTCATAATATGTACATAGAAGAGCTTGAAAATGGTGGAAACCCAGGAACAGTTTGAGAAAGTCCAAGACAGCGTGTGTTTTAAAGAACTCGAGGGCCATGGAAGACAAGCCATCCATCCATCGCGAGAGGAAAGAGACAAAGCATCGACTGAATTTGCTGGACAAGATGATCCATCAATCCTTGAAACCTGCTACCCTCACAAGATGCCTGGACCAAGACAGCCCTGCAAGCCGGCCACCGCGCAATGGACGACTCAATCGAACTTACCTCCCTCTTCACCTACTCATGATGCCGATGATTTGGTTTTTTGTAGCCAGCGGTGTCCGAGCCACCGGCTCCGGTAAGTCAAAGTGTCTACTTGGACTGCAATATTCCATCTCAAACTGACTTACGACCCCATGCATGGTTCTTGCTTTGTGAAGATCGATCAGGCTCTTCTAGCTTCAACTCGACTCACGAGCGTCACCCTGCTTATCTACTCACTGGAACCAATGGTGTCGTTGCTAGCGAGGAGATTCGCTGTTCGACAATTGGCATCGATGGTAAGCATACTGTTTCTTGCGCCGGCTCAAGTCAAGAAAGATATAAAAAAAAAGCAAAGCGAAATAGAGCTAATCATGCCTCTGGTATTTTTGGGGGTGCTGGGTGGATCACAGTTTTGAAAGACAATGGGACTGCAACCGATGCAGCCATAGCTACCGCACTTTGTGTTGGTGTTGTCAACTCGTTCTCCTCTGGGATCGGCGGCGGAGGATTCATGATCATCAAGCCACCAACTGGATGCAAGCACAAGCCTTGTTCGGTGCAAGCTCCAATGACCATCAACTTCAGAGAGACCATGCCCAATGGTGAATTCTTCATGGAGGCTGCCCTGAAGAGCTCCTCGAGCAGGGTCGGGGGTCTTTCGATCGGAATCCCTGGTGAACTGGCTGGTTTTGAAGCCGCTTATCGACGCTTTGGTGGCGGAGTCACTTGGAAAAGGATCTTCCAACCTTCGATCGATCTGGCCAGGAACTTCTCAGTCGGGTCCGCCCTGTCTTCCAAGCTTTCCACTCCGAACGCAGACTGGATGAGAACTAAGCGAGAATGGCAGACCATCTTCCAGCCTGTAAATCACTCCCAACCATCCCGACAAGGGCAATGGATCCAAAGACCCCACTACGCCAGGACGCTTGAGACCATAGCCGAAAAGGGCATTCATCCATTTTATCATGGAGATATCGCCAAACAGCTCGTCGAAACCATCAATCGAGAGGGTGGTAAAGTCAGTTTGAAGGACTTCCAAGCGTATGAGCCCGTCGTCGAACAAGCCATTAACACAACCTACCACGGGTATAACATTTGGACCACTGGGCCGCCCTCATCGGGTGGGATCCTATTGCATGTCCTGAACATCCTCGAGCGCTATTCGCTACACCGTCATACTCGAAGCCCATTAGCCGAACATCGGTTTGTCGAATCACTCAAGTACGCTGCGGCAGCTCGGACAGAACTGGGGGATCCGAGCTTCCTGGGCTCGGCTCAGCTAACCCGAATCAAACAGATCAAGTCGAAAGCCTATGGCCTCGAGACCTCGCTGAAAATCGACGACAACCGAACGTATGAGTATTCGCACTATCATCCCAAGTACGATACCGTAGAGGATCACGGGACGACCCATCTGAGCGTCATCGATCGCTTCGGCTCCGCCGTCTCACTCACTTCGACCATCAATCTCTACTTCGGCGCGAAGGTCATGGACCCGCACAATGGGATCATCCTGAACAACCAGAACGACGACTTCAGCCTACCCGGTCAATCGAATGCCTTCGAGCTCTTCTCCTCTCCATTGAACCATCCAGCCACCGGCAAACGTCCCGTCAGCTCGATGTCCCCCATCATCGTCGATTACCTGCATCCGCAACCCAATCAGCAACCCGAATTCTTTTGTGCCCTGGGCGCTAGTGGTGGTAGTCGTATCTTTGGCGCCGTCGCTGGTACTCTCTTGAAATTACTTTGGGGATACGACCTTTCACATGCGATCGAAGACCCCCGAGTGCATCATCAACTACGACCCAATGAGGCGGGTCTTTCAATTCCATCCTTTCTCTTTAATTTTCCATACACCGTGGGGGTTACTAATAATTACGTCTTTGGTTGTCTGCAGGCTTCAATTGAAACCACCTACCGATCCGATTTTATCGACGGCTTAAGGTCCAGAGGACACAACATCTCGATGGTTGAGATCACGGAGGCCATGTCGTCAGTCCTTGTTTTCCGCACCTCTCACATGCAACCGTGCAGCCGCATGGTTTGTGTCCTTCCGTGAATACATCACTGATCCTTGATTCTTGTATGTCTCGCCACAACAGAGTCGTCAATGGGATCCATAAGAGAATCTCCGACGATCTCTTGTTTGGGTCTAGTGACAGTCGCAAGGGCGGCGTCCCTGCCGCTTACTAATTCTCCACTCTCTCTTAAACCCTTATGCCTTTAAAGCCATTGGACATGTGTGTACATAGACTGATTGCTGTTTCTCCTTAATTTTTATTGTTGTTTCTACTGTTGTCTTAAATCGATATTCGGGAAATAGGTTTTTAACCAGATCATTGAGCGAGTGCCCGCTTCGCCCAAAACATCAATTTGGCTTGGATATTGGGAAGGCCTGGGTCACAAGCTTTGTTGACATGCTCATCCGATAAGTGCATCATCGCATAGCGCCAGCAATATCGTCCCGGCAGATCCTCACTTCATAATGTGGCATTGAGTGTTGAATTTTTTAGTTGAAAACATTTCGAATTAACTGAAATAGGATGTTTTGAAAATGGGAAAAAGCTCACTGAGTCATTCTTTTGTCCTGGCTTCCTGTGGATCTGGTGACAGCTGGCATAGAAGCTAGAAGACAATCCCCGAATTCGCCAAGCAGGCCAAGAGCAAGGGAGATCATACGTGTCAACTGCCTCCTCCTCAATTCCCCCAAGGGCTTCTCAAAAACTCGACACAATTAGCCTTCATCTGACCACTCAAACTGAGTTCGCTTCATTTCAAGTCCTTCATATTTTCTTTATTTCTGTTGTTTCGACTTTCTTTTCTCATATTTCTAATCTCTTTCTAAATTTTTCTTTTCCAGATTCCCTGCGGATTGTTTAAATCCTAGCACCTTTCTGGCTAGACTCGCCATGCTGAATATCTGAATTATGTTTGATACTAAGACCATCTCCACCGCGCTGGACTATCTGAGTGCCCAAATCTCAAACTCGCGCGACTGCGGCGCATTTTTAGGTCCTCGCCTAGTCATGCCTTCACACCGCAAGGTCTTAAATATAGGACCTTGCGAGTGTGAAAGGGCATTCCCCGAATTCCCCCTAGTGTGACCCGCCGCCATCATCAGATTGTGATCACTCCATACAACCTTATCTATCTTCACCCACACGCACGATGGAAATGGACCCGGTCTTATTGCGGATAATACTCCGCCGAAGGCAAATCCTCGCAAGATCAAGAACATTAATCAACACAGTTATTCAAATTGCCCCATTGTTACTTGAAGAAGAAGAACCGACCATCACAGATTCTTCCCGTCCAGGTGGTTCACGGCCCGGAAAACAGCCCAACTTGCCCCGCGACTTCGAAGGGAGCTACCAAAGGCTGCTTGAGCATTACTTTTGTGCTCAACCTCTCTACAATGATCAGACTTTCAGGCGCCGCTTTCGAATGGGGCGGCCACTTTTCTTAAAGATAGCTGAAGCGGTTCAACAGCACGATGAATATTTTACTCTCAGACGGGATGCATTAGGGAAATTGGGCCTGAGGCCCCTAGTTAAAATAACGGCTGCTTTACGAATGCTTGCCTATGGAGCTGCGGCCGACTGCAACGATGAGTACCTTCAGCTCTCCGAATCGACCTCGCTGAAGTGTATGAATCAATTTTGCAAGGCTATTGTGGCTATCTACTCGGCCGAATACCTTCGACACCCAACCCCAGCCGATCTAGAGCGGCTTCTCACCCAGGGTGCCAAGCGAGGATTCCCCGGAATGCTAGGATCGCTCGACTGCATGCACTGGGAGTGGAAGAACTGCCCAACCGGTTGGGCTGGACAGTTCCAAGGAAAATCAAAGGTAATTTTGTTCAATCTGTTATCTGTGATCCACTTGCTAAAGGCATGCTTTTTTGTGATGCATTCCAGAGGCCGACGGTCATCCTTGAAGCTGTAGCATCACAGGATATGTGGATCTGGCATGCCTATTTTGGCATGCCCGGTTCACACAATGACATCAATGTTTTGGATACTTCTCCCCTTTTCTCAAATCTCTTGAACGGTCGGGCTCCACAATGCAAATACACAATAAATGGGCACCACTACGACCAAGGATACTATCTCGCTGACGGGATCTATCCAGACTGGGCCACATTTGTGAAAACCTTGTCCCAGCCTCTAGGAGCAGAGCAGAGGCATTTCGTCAAGATGCAAGAGGCCCGGCGTAAAGATGTGGAGCGAGCGTTTGGTGTTCTTCAGGCGAGGTTTGCGGTTGTTTCTCGCCCAGCCCGAGGCTGGAAGCATCACAATCTTAATAGTATAATGAAGGCATGTATCATCCTCCACAACATGATTGTGGAGGATGAACGAGATACATACTTAGAATATGTGTATGACAACAACCCTGCGGCTATCATTACACCCGTTGAAATCTCGCGCGATGAACCACCAATTTCGTTTTCGGATTTCCTCTCTAATTATCAATCCATGAAAGATTCTAGTACTCATTTTCAGTTGCGCACCGATCTGATTAAACATCAATGGGACATCAAAGGCCGACAGGAAGAATCTGAAGAAGATACTTGATTTGAATTTCATTTTTTTTTTGAATTGGTCATTGTTGAACTACCTATGTACAACTTAGATTTAGAAGCAATCAATTGAATTGGATAGTAAGGAAAAGAATCAAGCAATTGATTGATTGGGTGCTTGTCTGAGTGATAATGGGAGACAAAAATATAAGGAAAAGAATGAAACAATCAATTGATTGGTCTCTCGATCAATCGATCAATTGATTCATCGAACAAACAAGCGACCGATCAAGATACATGAACGGAAGATATAGATGATCAGGATTGAAGAGTAGTTATTGCATCGGTTGAGTTATTGCATCGGTCGGGGTCGCTTGAAGAGATTGGGAAACTAAGGGTCATTGCTTGAGCTGGCTCGAAGGGTTTTGAGTATTTGAGCTCTCTTGAGCTTGAAGAACTCCTGCTGCTCCTCGTCAAGACCAGTGAGGTTCTGGGTCATGATGGTGAGTTGTGCAGCAGTTTGGCCATTGTCGGCCATCGACTTGAGGGATTGGGAGTCATCACGGAATATGTCGTTGAGTCGAGTCGATTCGACGGCAATTTTCTTATGCGCAGAGGCAACGTCCTCTTTCCACTCTTGATCTTTAACAGCTAGTTGGTGGAGCGTCTTGGCCTTCTTGATTCCAATAGGTCGCTGGAGGATTTGAGGATCGGTAGAGGTACCTTCGAAATCTGAGACAGGGTCTGACGGTGCAGCTAGATCCGATTGTGCCGGTGTTGAAGCAAGTGCGGTCGAAGCTGGCGCCTCACTGCTGGGGCTTCTGGCACGCTTTTTCTCGCCTTTCTTATCGTGATCGCGACAGTAGTTGTGCCATTTGGGGCTTTTCACCAGGAGGTTGTAGCAGCGGAGATACTTGAAATGTGATCCCTGGTCCTGCGAGTAAAGGCGGAGAGCTCGGTTGAGTTGATCTTCTGCAGAGGCACCGCTTTCGTTGCGAGATTCAACAATGTTGACGAAACCACGAAATTTGTTGATCGACGGTTGTAAGTAGTTGCTCCATCTCTTCTTCAAGCTATCGACGGGTCGAATCGGGTCCGGAACCGCTTCGTGATATAATGTGGAAACGCGAGACCAGAACGTGTTCCCATCTTGATTGGTTCCAACCATGGGGTCTTTGGATACCTGCACCCAGGCTCGACAAACCTCAAAGTCCTCCAGTTCAGTATAATTGGGTGCCTTCTTTTTCTTGGCTGGATGATCGGATGGGGATTTTTTAGCTTAAGGAGCCCAGTGGGTCAGAAAATGACTGAATGAAAAGGAAAATACTCACCATTGTCGTTGTTCTCTTGGTCATCGTTGTCATCTAAAGATGGATCGACGTTTTGAATCCGCCTTCTTGCCATTGCTCTTGTTTTGAGGTACTGTTGGTGAGTTGTCGACCGATATCTGTATGGTGTATGGGTGCTGTTGGTGAGTTGTCGACCGATATCTGTATGGTGTATGTGTTGGGGATATCGGGGGGTTGTGGGCAAAGGGTACTGCAAAGTATCACAGAAATGGGCTGTGATATGCAGATGGAGAGGACCTATCGGAGGAGTATACAATCTTGAGTCTAGGAATCGTGTAGGTCCCGAGAGGGATTTTCTTAGTTTAGGCCGCCCTTTGGGGCCTGCGGTGGCGGGGCTAAATCCGGTCCGGGGGCCTAAATTTGGTTTGGTCCCGCGATTTAGGCCCCGCGGTGGAGATGGTCTAAATGGCAAGATGGCACTAAATGATAAAAAAAGCAGGTAATCATTCCTGCCCAGTGCCAACAATCTTAACACAGACTACCGCGTTCATTGGGGCAGGCCTAACATTTCCAAGCCAACTCAGTTGAGCCTCTTGACTCTTATCAACCCGAAGAAAGCGAAGTACCAAAGCCGGAATCATCTCAGGTTTGTACAATCTCAAAATTGGGTACATTCATAGTGAACAGAAGTGAGAAGCCTACTGACTGGATCAGCCTATCAGTGAATTGTGGCCGTTTTGTGTGCCTCATTTGTTAGCCAAGCTATGGCTCAGTAGACCTTGCCCCATAGGTTCATTAGATGCTTGAAGTCTTAATCTAGGACCCAGGAAACCCTCTGTAGATGTCAGTAACCTAAAATCCCAGATTTTCAGAAAATTCATACATTTTTGGGCCTCATTCATACACGTTGGGTGCCTAGGCTCAGAGGTTAGCCAAAAATTTCGTACAATTTTTGTGCCTAACATTTTTTTTGGCTGAGCCTGGAGGCTAGAATTTTGTATATTTTTTTGTCTGTAGCATCTTTTTCCACCAGGAAGCACATAGCCAAACTTTCTTTACAGCTAGTCATTCCTGCTAGCAACTTGGGTGAAAAATGCAAAAAAAGAAATATTTGCCATTGCATGCAGTATGTAGTGGGAGGAACACATAAACTATCATCAGCTTTTTCTTTTTTGAGAGATTTGATTCTTAGGGAATTCTTTTTTGCCCAAAAACTGACAGGGTGATTAAAAAAAATCTGATGGGGGGTGTTAAAAAAACTTCAAGGGGGGGGGGGGGGG